TACATATGCACTGTGGAAGTTCCAGAAAGACACAGGGGAGAGAAAGGGGAAGAGAGTATATTAGGTGAAATAGTAGCTGAAAACTTCACAAATCAGATGGATGACAAATATAAACATTCAAGAAGACCGATGGGCCAAATAACATTAATTCAAAGAGATCATCAGCAAGATGCAAAAACTTCAAAAATGAAACAAAACGAATTGAAAGTGATGTGTAAAGCGACCAGTCTCACGCAAGGGATCCTCAGGAGATTAGACGGATTATCACAGATTTTTCATTAGAAACTTTGAAAGACTGAAGACAATGGGTCAATATATTCAAAGCACTGAAACAAAGTTTCAACTAAGACTTTTGTATTTTGCGAAGTTGTCCTTCAAAGCAAATTAAGAATTCTTACATAAAAGTCAAAAAAGTTTATTACTTCTAGACAGATTGAAATGATTGCCTATGAATAACTTAAAACTACATGCAGACATAAACATTTCAATACAAGTAAACCATGGGAGATTATGAAGCTCAGTGCTATTGTTATTTTCTTTTCTGAATAATTTAAGACTAATGTATCTTGTTTTTGAAAATTTATTAATTTGTTTTGAAAATCAGAGTAACAGAGAGCATGAGATCCTCTATCTGTTGGTTTACTACCCAGACAGTTGCAACAGTGCTGGGCCAGGCTGAAGCTAGAAGCCAGGAGCTTTTGAGGTTGAACCAGCACAAATTCAAATTAGTGTTACAAACTTAGGATGTCAGATGTAATCTACCTGATAACCACAAATGAAAGCAGATGAATCCAATCTTCAGTTGTGAATAGCAGACCTGACGCTGACTTCCAGGGCCTCAGGCTAATAGTGGGGCCTCCCAAGTGGGCTCCGCACTTATCCCAGCTACTGCGGCCATGTATGATCTTGTCACTCCCATCTTGTTCCAGAGGAAACTGTACTTTGCCATTTGTACAGTTAGAGTGTCCAGGGCACCCACCATGGAAACAGCAAGGAAGGAAACAGTCTGAAAAAATGAAGGAGGTTAATCAGGTGGGAACCTGGGGACCCAGCATCCTGAAGAGTGTGAAAAAGAAAACACACTGGTTGATTTACAAGGGTGTTATATTACTAGGACCTGAAAGAAGTGGATTTTTAGAAGCATGTCATTTAATGAGCTTCATTAAATAGAACCCTAAAATACCTTAAAAACTTAAGGTGCTTACAAGTCTGAAGTACCTCAATAAAGAAGCATTTCATCAACTATAAAAACATAATGCTCAAATAACTGGAAAGGACATTTCTCCAAAGATGATATATAGATAATTAATAAGCATGTGAAAACATGTGCATCATCATTAAACATTGGGCAAATACAAATCAAAACTATGAGATCTTACAATCAGTGAGTTGGCTACAAACAAAAACAACGATAACAAACCCCCACAAAAAAACTAAGTTTGAAAGATATAGGGAGAAATTGCAGCGTGAGTGTACTCTTGGTGGGAACATGAAATATTGTAATCAGTGTGGAAAATAGTATGGCAGTGCTTAAGAACACAAAAGGAAATTACCATATAACCCAGCAATTGTACTTTTGAGTGTATATTTATTAACAAAAATTCAAAGCAGGACTTCAAAGGGATATTTGTACACCCATATTCACAGCAGCATTGTTCCCAGCACTTAAAACATGGAAGCAGTTCAAGTACCCATTGATAGAAGTGTAGATAAATAAAAGCTATCATATCAATACAATGGAATATTACTTTGCCTTAAAAAGAAATTCTGGGCCAGGCACCACGGCTCAATGACTAAATCCTCACACTGTATGTGCTGGAATGCCATAGGGTCACCAGTTCATCTCCTGGCTGCTCCACTTCCCATGCAGCTCCCTGCTTGTGGCCTGGGAAAGCCTTAGGACCTTGTACCCATATGGGAAACTTAGAAGAAGTTCCTGGCTCCTGGCTTTGGATTGGCTCAACTCTGGCTGTTGTGGTCATTTGGGGATCTTTTTGTCTGTCTCTCCTTCCATCCCTAAATCTGATCTGCCTTTCCAATAAAAATAAATCTTAAAAAGAAAAAAGAAATTCTGGTATTAACTATGTCATGGATCAACATCAAGAACTTAATCATCAGAAATAAGTCATCCACAAAACAAAACATAATATTGCATGATTCTACCTTACATGAAGTACTTAGAATAGTCAAAACCATACAAAGAGAAAGTATAATGCTAGTTGTTGGAGACAAGGCAGTGGAGTGGAATGAAGAGTCACTGGTTTAGTGGGCATGGAGTTTACGATTCACAAGATGAAAAGATTTGTGGAGATGGATGTGATTGCATAACATTATCAATGCATTTAGTGCAACTGAACTGTATCCTTAAAAATGGAGAAGGATGTTGCTTGGTGCTGAGGTAAAGTAAGTTAAGCCTCTGTGTGTGGTACCAGCATCCAATATGAGTGCTAGTTCAAGCTCTGGCTGCTCCACTTCTGATCCAGCTCTCTGCTAATGCTTCTGAGAAATTAGTGGAGGATGACCCAAGTACTTGGGCCTCTACTCTCATGTGGGAGACCCCGAAGAAGCTCCAGCCCCCAGGCTCCAGGCGTCAGACAAGCCCAGTCCCAGCTACTGTGTCTATTTGAACCAGTGGATGGAAGATTTCACTCTCGTTCTGCCTCTCCTCTCTGTGTAATTCTGCCTTTCAAATAAAAAATAATAAAAATGGAGAAAATAGTAAATTTCATGCTATGTACATTTCACAATAAAATAATGAAGGGAAATGCCCACTATATTTAAAAATGCACCCATGATATGTTTTCTTTGAGGAATTCAAGCAACAGAAAAATAGGTAGTCCATTGTGTCAAGATGCTTCACCATTCCTTGTTCTGTTTGCTGTCTCCTGTTCTTGCTCAGCTTGGGATTTTCACTTCTCAGATGTCTCTGGCTCCAAAGCCAGCAGTTTTCCAAGCAGTTTCTTGAGGAGAGAACAGCTACTCATCAAACACGAGAGTGACACTGGAGACTGTTAGATCAAGCACAGAAGGAAAATAGCAGGAGCTGGTCCTTGTCATGTTTTTAAGTCTTGGAGCATTCAAATTTGTCCCAGAGGACATGGGGCTAGCAAACTTTTTGGGAAAGTGGTCTCCAAGGCTTGCTGAAGACTGGACAAGATGGATGTGGCAGAGACTGCTGGCCACGTCTCACTCACCTGTTAGAGATTCAGTGTGGAGCTGAGTATGTGGTTTCCTGGCACAAAGACCTCGTTTCCCAGTCCCACTTGCAACAAGGTAGGACGATGTGACTAAGTTATGACTGAAACACACACACACGTAAGGAGGGACAGAGAGAAAGTCTTCCTTCTGCTGATTCACTTCTCTGAATACCTCAATGGTTCCAGCAGGGCCAGGCTTAAGTCAGGTGCTGGGAACTTGTGGATTTCCCTCGTGCAAGGGCTGCAAGCACCTGGACCATCTGCTGCTGCTTCTCCCAGGCACATTAGCAGGGAGTGGAATGAGGAGCAGAGCACCTGCTGTTGAGGGGCTGCAATGCTCGCCCCTTCAGGAACTCCCTGACGACCTTCCTGAAGCAAAGGGCTGGGCGTAATTAACCCCTGGCTGTACTTTGGAAGGACAATCTAAGTCACACTACTTTTGTGGCTTTCCCCCAGAAAACGACTTAAAATACATCTCAAATGTTGATACTGGAAATGAGCTTCTCTCCAGAGTTCTTTCTGGCATAGTCACTGCCTGTTCACATTCATGCCTACTTTATCAGGTATCCATGTGTGGACACTACAGAGTACAGCATGGTATTAAGAAAACAAACTCTGCCCAGCATGGTGGCCTAGTGACTAAAGTCCTCGCCTTGCATGCCCAGGATCCTGTGTAGCTCCTAGTTCTAATCCTGGGAGCTCCACTTCTCATTCAGCTCCCTGCTTATGGCCTGGGAAAGCAGTTGAGGATGGCCCAAAGTCTTGAGACCCTGCACCCATGTGGGGGACCTGGAGGAGGTTCCTGGCTCCTGGCTTCAAATCGGTCCAGCCAGCTCCAGTCGTTGTAGTCACTTGGGGAGTGAATCATCGGGCAGAAGATCTTCCTCTCTGTCTCTCCTCCTCTCTGTATATCTGAGTTTCCAATAAAAATAAATAATTCTTTAAAAAAGGAGAAGAAAACAAGCTCTGAAATCAGACCTCAATTAAAAGTCTTAAATGCCACCATTTCCTTAGACCAGGGATTAACCCTTGCTGGAGTAGAAGATGAAGACCGTTCACTGCCTAGGTGTTAGTAAGAATTACACTAATTAGCATTAAAGGTACCAAGAAGCACGTGTCCCGTGGTAAGGCTTATTCAACCATGGACATTACTGTGAATTTTACAACAGCTATCATTCTGTCACACTATATGGGATTAGCCAAGTTTGTTGAATGTAAATGCACCTGCTTAGCCAGCTAGCCATCTACTCTTTTCCAATCCTTTACCCGTCTAAGGACCGTCTCAGGACACTGCAAATGGCCCTCCTGTCACCTATTAACTTGTCAAGTAAAGAAACATAAAAACCCCCGGGCATACCTCCCTGTGAGGTTCGGGCAGTTTAACTGGAAAGCCAAAGACCGAACAATTGCCCTTCGACCCATCTTCCGCCTGTCCCTTTAAATGGTGCGTCCCTGCGGGTGCCACCATCCCAAGTTTGTTCTGAGAGCTGTGGCTCTGTTGGAGTCGGCTGTAGGCTCCAGTTCCCACCTGCTTCCCGGGTGTTCCTGCCTCCTCCGCCTCGGAGCTGGGCCACCCCAATTCCGTCCCCAGTGAGCGCTCAGCGCGCAGGGGCTTCTGCAGGTCGGGGCTCGTCCCTACTCTCACTCATCATCACCTTCGTGGGGCGCCGGAACCGGTGGAGACACCAGGAGACGCCTGTCATCTTCGCGGAGCGCCACGCCCTCCGCGCCCCTGGCACCTGCGAATAAGAAGTGCGCGCCTGGTTGCCGAAGCCAGAGCGCTCAGGGCTGGGTTGCGCGCCGCGGGGCCGCGGTTTGGCTTGGCAGGGCGCCGGCGAGCTCATGGCCATGGACGCTCCGCGGGGCATCGGCACCTTCGTGGTGTGGGACTATGTGGTGTTCTCCTGCATGCTGCTCATCTCGGCTGCCATCGGCATCTACTACGCCTTCGCGGGGGGTGGCCAGAAGACCTCCACGGACTTCCTGATGGGGGGCCGCAGCATGACAGCTGTGCCGGTGGCACTGTCCCTCACCGCCAGCTTCATGTCGGCTGTCACCATCTTGGGCAGCCCCTCCGAGGTCTATCGCTTCGGGGCTATGTACAGCATCTTTGCCATCACCTACTTCTTGGTGGTCGTCATCAGCGCTGAGATCTTCCTCCCTGTGTTCTACAAACTGGGAATCACCAGCACCTACGAGGTCAAGGGGAGGTGGGCCGGGAGGAGCGCGCGTGGGCGGGGAGCATGGGGGACTCTGCAGGTTTCTGGAGCAGTTCTCCTGGAGACAGACACACACACCACCAGGCAATCTCTCTGGCTCCACATTATAATTGCCTCCTCTGGGGGAAAATCCCTGGGTGTCTGTCCTCAATAACAGGAGAGACTTCCAAAGTAAACGGTGTACATCAGGTTATGGCTTTCTAAAGGTTCCTAGATTCTTGGTCAAAAGGCAAGGTTTCACAACTGTTTGCATTTTTTAGTGAGCCGAACCTTTCCAGTCTCAGTTCCTCTTCTTTGCTGTCTCCCCACTCTGAGTTTCTCAAAGCCATTCCGGATCCACTGCCTTCCTCGTCCACACACACCAAGGTGCAGGCAGCTAAGTGTCTCTGGGTCCCCTGTTGGAAACCATATTGTATTATAACTAGGTAGGTGATTGTGGGATACTTATTCCATTCTTTGTGACTATTTCTTCTTTTCAAAAAGAACATCATAACTCCCTCTTACGTCCAGTTGTCGGAGAGTTAAATGGAATGTTGCAAGGTGCACATGTAACAGAATAGCGCTTGGCATGGAAGAAGTGTTGGTTGAACTTTGGTCAGAGTTACTGGGATAGTGAGAGCCTGGTGATTGTGCAGGGGATTGTTTTGGAACCACTGGAAAAATTGGGATTGTCACACAGCTCTGGCCATGCTCTGCTGAGGCTCGTTTTGGGAAGACGGTTGAAGAATACCATTCTTTAGCACAGGTCCCTTGCATCTGGGTTCTTTCAATCTGTCTTGTAAGAAAGGACTTTGCCAAGTGTTTGGTTCACTTTTGAGAGTCATGTAGGGGCAGCTAAAATCTCAAAGGAGTGATGTGGTCCAGTTCAGTGCCCTCGAGGTCTCCTTCATCCGGGTACTGACCCATGAGCTGCACGGATGAGGCCAAAGGGGTTTCCTTTGCAATAGACCATTATCCAGAGCGCTTTGCTCCTTGTCTCATCAGTGTCTGTTGTCAGCTTTATGGAGTGTTTCCTCCAATCCTTGGCTGCTAAGAGGTAGATTCCCAGCGAGGCTGATTCAGCTGATGCTGAGGACAGGGTTAAGGTGGCGCGACAAGTGTTGGTGACAGAGTCTGCCTAGACTCGGTGACTTCATCCGAAGAGAAGCACCCCTGTGGCCGCTTTGCCTTCCACCTGCTCTGATTGCCACATGTGGGAGAGTTCAATCATCCTCCCACAAGTGACGGATGGAATTTCTCAGTTTTGCTCAGACTGCCTTGGGCCAAATTCGGTTCACAGGCATTCTTAAATGTAACGTAATAATGTGTTGAAAAAGAATTAACAGTTAATGATGAAGAAAAAAAAATCAAATAAAACTGCAGATTCTGACTTCTTTTGGAAACTTAGAAGACTGTTGGCTGGGCCCGCTTTCCCTGTGACCACCTCAACTGCGGTCTGCGACCACTGCTCTCACTCTCCAGCCATTTCTGTGTTGAGGGTTTATCTCTTTGCAAAATTACTTGGTAGAGAAATCGTCATCTGCCTTGATGTCTTTATCAAAAATGAAAAACGCAGAAAATGAAAAAGGATGAAGGGAGTTCTTGTTTTGAGGGAGATGTGAAAGGATGCATTTCCTCATTAATATAAAGAATATTTCAGCACAAAAATATATAAGCATCTGGCTAAGGTTAGGCATATACAAAGGTGCTTCAAAAATATTTGTGGATAAAGCCAAAACAAGTTCATGGGCAAATGGAATTAAAGGATAAATTTACCTTTGTACAAACATTCTTTGAAATCCAGATGCACAAGGGTGTCACAGAGCCCAAGGACTAGGTGTATGATGGCAAAACCTTGCCAAGAGTTCAGTTCTTTGGCACTAAAAGTGTAATTTTGTTGGTTCACAACTTGTTTTGAAGCCGCCTCCTAAGAGATTGGATGAAACATCCAGGCATTCAAGTGCATGAGCCCTGATCTGTGGCTAACTAACTTAAAAATGTGGAATGGAATTGAATAATCTGGCCAGAGGACTTCGGTCCCCAAAGACAAATGCCACTCTTTGAACCACTGACCCATCCTTTGGGGCTATAACACTAACTCAAGCAGAAACACCTTTCTCACAAGTTTTTCGCAGTGGAACCTGTAAGCAAGCCTTCCAGGTGAACAAAAAGCTAATGTTTGTGGAATGCTTAATAGTGCCTGGCACTGGGTTGCATGTTTTGCATACATTGTCTGGCGCAGCAGTCCAAACAATCCTTATGAGAGAGATTCTATCAGAGCCCCATTTTGCAGATACAGAGTAAGTCAGGCTATGGAGAGAACGGAGTACTGACAGGCCTACTAGCAGACTTGATGAATCTATCAACATTCCAAGCTTGTCACAATGCAGAGAGAAGCAAAGAGGTGATGCAGAACACGTGAACCAGTGAGCCCAGTGTGGGTGGTCACGACTTGGAGTGCCAAGCAATTGGGGCATCACGCTGTGACCTTATCAACTGGCCATGGCAAAGACTTTCTTGTGAAATATTTTCCTTTTGTTTTATAATGAGAGATGGAGCCACCCACGTGTACAAAAAGCAGTCCAGCACCAAGGGATAGATACGCTGGCACTCCTTCTCACAGAAGAAACTCTTCTTTATTTACATTTCTTTGACTGTTATTGCTAAAGGTGGCTGTTCACAATCACTTTATTTCTATTTGTCACTAAATTTGAAATGTTGGCCTAATAGGTGTTTTGCAATTTCCAGATGCACAGATGAACAAAAAGGATATTGTAGAAATCTGGTTTAATTCATAACTTCTTTAGAATTATTCTATGTCCAGCTAAATCTGTATGTTCATACTGAGTTACTCAGATTTTGTATTAATTCAGGCATGTGTTTAAATTTTTAGAGGTCTTAGTTTCATGTCCTTAAACTATTCAAAGCGCTGAGGATTCTGGGAGAGCTTGATTGACGGTAGGCACCTCCTGTTATTTTGTAGTTTTGTCCGGAAATCTTAATTTAGCTTTAGTTTGCTTTCATCCTACTACACAGCTTCTTGGCCCTCTGGTTAGACCTCAACATTCTTCAATAGCTTCCTAGCCGCAGATGGCTGAGACAATGACACAGTACTTGACTTGATCTTGAATTAGCTTTAACTCCTAAGTTTTTTTCTACATCGGCTGATCCTGGGGCTGGTGGAGGTGGGGCAGGCAGGGAAGGTGGAATATTACATATATAAAGGAGCTTCTAGAAGCTCATGAAAAAAATCAAAGGATAGTTTGAATTTTCTATGAACCTTTTAAAGTCCACTCGTGCGTATATGTGTGCTTGTGTGTATGTACCATAGATCCAGATGACTACATTCTTAGCTTGGTTGCAATGTTCTTTTAAGAGTTCTTTGTCTCCAGTGTCTTGGGTATGTGTACTTAGAAAAAGCAAAGGTCTCTCTGTTTATTCATAACCACTCATGTGTAAGAGAGATCTACTAAAGGAACTCTGAAAAAAATAACACTGCTCCATTTCCAGGTTCAGACGTTTCTCCAGTCTTCCGAAAAGTCTTCCAAAATATCCTGGAATGATATTCGTTCACTGAAGACAAGTTTCTCAAGGGCCATGAATCTGCATAGAACTAAGTTCTTAATATCTTATTTTCTCAACAGTGTCCAACATTTCCCCATCCATTTATATCATTGGATAGTGTTCAAAACCCTGGAAATAAAAGGGCAAAGAACTATTTACCATGGTCCTCAATGTTAAAGGAAGGAAGCAGGTTTGAAGAGCGATTGCCTAAAGCTCTGGGAATCAGGAGAGGGGCTGGGTGAAGGGCTGGAGCTGTTCTCCCAGTACTCCCCATTGCCTGGTTTTCTTGTCTCCTATCAGTTATTTTTGCAGGTCCAGTGACATGCTAATGCTGCCTACTCCCTTCCTCAGTCTAAGCATGTAGTTAGATTCTTATTAATTTGGTCATGTGCACATGTTAGCATCAACGATTTGAAATTTGTGTTGTGATCCTGCTGGTTCCTAGGTTGCAAACTTGATGTCTTCTCTGGGTCGCAATGCCATCGTCCCCAACATGGACTTATCCATAGAGTTGCCAGGAGGATTAAGCACAATAAATACTCCACACATGTTAGCTTTGACCACACAACAAAAATATCGTATGTCTTTCCCTCTATTACCTAATGCCAGTTTTCCTTCTTCCTTCTTCTCTGCTGTATGAAAAGACTATTGTTAGCATTAAACATTTTTTTTCCACGTGTGCTAAGTTAGAGCATGTCTTAGATTCCAGCTCATAAATTCTATAATCGTAACTGGACTACAGTGTGGTCTTTAGGACATAAGTTGGTCATATAATAAGACAGAGGAGATTTCCAGGACACTAGAAGGAGTTGGCAGGGCCACTAGCTATGAAAAGAAACTAATTTCGGTGACTTCAGTTAAAAGACTATGGTGGAGGGATGTGGGGTAACTCATAGAATAGAGTGAAAAGCCAATTAAGCTTTAGAAAGGCACAAGGCAGGACAGCATCTTCTGATCTCCCAGAGTGGAACTTGCTCATTCCCTCTCCGTATCTTGTCTCTAAGTTCAAAATATTCATTGTTCACAGAAGGTGAAATGGTGGTTACATGGTTTTCTTCTGGCTAATAGGTCATGACACTTTGATTGACAATTCCATCAAAATTGCCTACATTTGGATAGGTTTGGTTCCCTAAATGAATCTAGGGAGAACAATGGGTTACTCAATCTAAAAATGCAGAATGTAATTTCATCTATATGACAATCTGGAACAAGTAGGAATGGCTAAGAGATCAGAGACCATTAGTGTGTGGGGATGGAAGGAGGGCTTGGCCACAGGGGAGAAGTCTGAGGGAGTCTGCTGAGATGCACACACTGTTTCGTATTTAGATCGTCATGGGGGTTACACAAACATGTATGTGTTTTACAAGCCCTTGGACTGTGCTCTAAAGTGATTCGGTTTCACTGTATGCAAATAAAATAGTACAATGAAGATACACAATACAAATTACTTATGAAGCTGTTTTACATCTCTAATCGTCTACTTAAGTTGCTGATTATAAGGTGTGCAGAGAATTCACACAATAATCACTTTCCCCCTTTTGGCAACAGTATTTAGAACTTCGATTCAACAAATGCGTTCGTCTCTGTGGAACAATCCTCTTCATTGTTCAAACAGTAAGTAACTCACCGCTAGTTTTTCCTTTATTGTCTGAAATATTTTTCACCATGGCAGCTGGGTCCATCTTGCTTGGAAAACACATGCGTGATAACAAAGAGATACTGCAAATATGAGGAAACTAAAAAAGGAAAAACGCTTGTCACTAAGCAGCAATTACCCTTAAGATAATTAAACAGTGTGCCAGCAAGCTTTGCTGCCTGGAAAAACAACAATTGAAGCAAGAATTAGCTATTATATTGATCAAGACACAGATATGCTGCATTAGGAAAATATAATTTCCTTTATCCCATCTCCTCTGATCTTAACCAAGGTGACAGACATGAAAGGCTTTGCAAGATGACAAAAGATAGTAGTGTGGACCCTAGAAGTTGATGACAGTAATTCTGACAAAAGGAAAACAAGTTGGATACTTCAAAGTATTTTAAAAACAATATTGAATAACAGGTATGAAAAAATGGCTGACAAAGGAAGGCATTAGGACGTAATTTTCTATGTTAGTAAGCTAACTTTAAAAATGAATCAGTGTTTAAAAAAAATGGAACCAGAAAGAGTAATTGATATTTCGATGATAAAAATGTAAGCTCATGGGCTCTGGAAGAGATAATCCAGTAGAGCTTGACCAGAAAACACGGATTGCCCAGGTGGCTAGTGATGGAGTGCTTCCACCTCTATCCTGCTGCGCGACGGGTGAGGGATCGTTATCAGGACTGTCCCATCTCCCTCTGGCCAGTGAAGCCCTTTATGCGAGGGTTGGATGATGGAAGCTGAGGAATGATCTCTACTCTGACTCTCGTTACAATTCTATTTCTCCTTCAAAAGTCACCCAAGCATTCGCTACAGGAAGACAGAGTGCCTTCGACTCGTTTTATATCATTGCAAGCGAAGTGATTCAAATGGTGCTAGCTCTTACTAGTTTCAGTATAGGAAGGAAATCTATGGGGTGTGGTGGAGCGTTGGACTCAGAGCTGAGGCTGATGGCTTGCGTTACCCAACAGCGCAGACGCTCGCAGGGGCTTTGTTGGTGATGGGAAATGTGGAAAGGAGCTGGCAAGACAACCTGAGGTCATGTTTTGAAAGCCTCAACTTGGATACAACAATGATTGTAAAATGACTCTATGGTAATGCCAGAAGAGTACCTGGAAGCACAGCTTAGTTCCACAGAAAGGGGACATTTAGCACTTTCCATTTGAAGTATTTACTGTACTTCCGTATCTCTAACCTTGGAATGTAATCAAGCAGCCCAAGAACCCTTTTCCCAGCATGGTTTAGAAAGTAACTATAGTTTTAATTCTTACGTGATACATTTGAATGACAAAGTTTAATGGAAATGATATTTTGGGAAAAGACTGTACTTACTGTTACACTCCAGACCAATAAATATTTGTCAAATGTGTAGATGAAAAACTAATAAATAAAATGGTGGAATATAGGTATTATGGATTTTAGGTTCTTTTTTATACACAAATTTACACTTAATTGATTGTCATGCCAACTTTTATAAAGTACTTCAGGAAATGTATAGTTTTCTTAACCATGCAGTTGTTAACTTACATACATGATTGAAGGACCATTCTCTTTTAAACTGAATTTCTTTTTTTAAAAAAAATGTCTATTGGGAAGACAGAGGCATAGAGATACAGGGAGAGACAGAAAGTCAGTCTGTCTGTTTGAAGGGCAACATGGCTGAAAGAGAAGGAGAGACAGGCAAAGAGAATTTGCATCCATCAGTTCACTTCTCAAATGATAGTCAGAAGGGGACCAGGATGAAACGAAGAACCAAAACTCCATCTTGGTCTCCCATGTGGGTGGCAGATATGCAAAAACATGGACAATCATCAGCCAGTAAGCAGGACTGGAAGTGGAAGAGCCAGGACTTAAACAGGCACTCGGATATGGGATGTGCAGATTAATAGCTGTGGCTTTACTTGCTGAGCTATAATGCTTACTCCACCTTACTCATTTTCATTTTTTTTTTCCTGGCTGTTTTGGGTTAGAAAATCGATTTCAGGCTTGAGTTGGTGAGCCAGTGATCATTTACATGAAGTATCACATGAAATGTCTATCTTTATACAGAATTGATCATAGGAGATTTTCACATCCACAAGCACAACAGAATTAGCCTTATTGACGTAATACTTTCAATATTACAAATAAACGCTTTAAGTATATTGAAACTGTTGCTTTAAATTAGAATTGAATTTATGGTGAAAAAAAATCAGTATTTTGTCATTCATATCCATAGTTTATCTAATTCATTTGGCTTTCTTTTCTTCCCTAGATTCTATATACTGGAATTGTTATTTACGCCCCTGCCCTGGCTTTAAATCAAGGTACACTTTAGAGTTTGCTCATTATGTAACTCATATTTTGGGGATGATTTTCAATCAGCGTTATCTGTCCTAGGGAAGTGAGGGAAAGTGCTTCCAGTAACCTACAGCAGCTTTCCAAGGAGGGCAGGGTGAGTTCAGTGTCGACACCAGCTGCTGCTCCGAAGGGCTGACCACAGCAGGCAGCATCCAGCGGCCACTCTTCAGGTCTTCAGAAAGCTGCTCCCCTGTCATCTAAGACATGAATGACTGCACTCTCTTCTTTGTAATTCTGATCAGATCTAGGGTAAAATCTGGCAGAGAAAAGCTTTTCTTATCCCCACTTTTGACATGCTCCAAATGGACGAGCAGAAGAGTCTTATGACGAAGTATCAGATTGTTCCTAGCATTATAGGACAGATGCCTATGATGTCTCTAGAGATACTTATGAAGAACATGCTTTTATTTTAAAAAATTGTATATATTTTTTATCTTTAGGGAACTTATTCATACATTAGATTGTCAGGGTCACAGCAAATGCATGATTATTGCATAATTTTCATGCTATTATTTTATTCATGCAGAGAACATATTCCATGTGGTTCATAGATAAAATTCTAAAGATAAAAGGATACTTTCCTTCCGCCCTCCTTCCCTCCTTTTTTCCTCTTTCCTTCCTTGCTTTCTCTCTTCCTTTCTGCTTTTGTCCTTCCCTTTCTTCCTTCCTCGCTCTCTCTTTTGAAAATTTTGTTGATCAATAAATCACCTTTGCTATTGAAATTTGGACATATAAGAGCAGTAAAACAAGGATAGTTTATTGAGGCAAATGTTGCTGTTAGTCATATTTTCAAATGGTTTTTGGGAAGTTCCAAGTCCTTTGAAGTCTTATCAGTTGGAAGTGAGTTTATCTCTAAAACTTCCTTGTGGACTGGACAAGTGGACTCTGTGCTGGAAAGAATGTGGTGTAGTTCCTGGAGTTAACATAAGATGGAGAAAACCCACTAACTCTACATTTAATTTTTTAAATTTTATGATGGATATGATAGTAATTAACACCTGTGAGGATAAAGTACAGCAGTATTATTACAAAGAAGTGCTCCACTGTATAATATGTTCTTGAATTCTGAGTTCTACATGTTTCATTGTCCATGCTACTAAGATCAAGAATGAGTCATTTCATTTCTCAAGAACTGAACTATAAACTTCAGAAGTTACCTTTTGGCTTTAAGTGTAATTAAATATGTTAGATTTTTAAAGTACAGTTTAGGAGTGATCAAAACATTGATTTTCATTTTTAAAAATTTTACTGTTTGATGATTTTTACATAGTTGATTAGGGTGATAAGGGTCAAGGGCTACAGGAAGCTGAGTGATATTACCATTTTCACATTCTCTTTTTTCCTTCCTATATCTGGGGGAAGAGGAAGAAAAGGGGAGGAGCCACACCAGCCTCCCAAATGCCTCTATACCCCACGTCCAGCTTCCTGACACCACTCCGGTGTCCCAGATATGGGGCATGCTCTGATGGCACTGCTCAAGAGGTTTCAAGTTCAACAGTTTTGAATTACTACAATCTCACCACTCCAAGCACGATGAAATCTCTCCAAAATCCACTGGTTGCATAGTCCACCTTAGAGTTTCTGTTTGCCCAGTCATTCACTGCCAACACTTGGCTGTGGTAGTTAATTGATTTGTTCTTTCCTCCATCTTCTGTTGTGGTACCAGGTGTCCTCTATAGAATCCAAAGTACTGTGTTCACCTGGATATGCTGTCCATTGCTCTGTCTAAGCCACTGAGGAGGCCCAGCTCTGACACACGCATTCCAGAGTCAGACCATGGAACCTGCAATTCTCTCCATAGTTGGGGTTCTGAATCCAGCGATTCATTCAGGGGGTATCCCCATAGAAACTTTATCTGAGGCAATCACAGTCTTGATTCTTGTGTGTGCATGCCAGTAGAGGATTTGACACAGTCTGTTGCCCCAACCAGCTTATGCACATGCTGGTGGATGGAATTGCTGGGTCATTTCTGCCTCCAGTCGATTTTCATTTTTGAAGAAGTCAAGGATTCTTTTCTTAACAAGGCTTACACTTTTATTGAGGTATAGATAACATATTATTACACGAGAGGAACTTAAGGGTAGGGTGGATGAGTTTTAATATTTGTGTACACTCAAAATTCCCACCCAGGATCTAGAATATTTCCATCATCCAATTCCAGAAATCTGCCCCACCTTTTTGAAAACAAGATTTATTTGAAAGAATTACAGAGATAGAACTCTAACATGCACTGATTCACCCCCCTCCCCCCGCCTCAGATGGTTGCAATAGCTAGGGCTGAGTTAGTCTAGAGCCAGGAGCCAAGCGCTTCATTTGAGTCTCCCATATGGATAGCAGGTGGTCCAAGCATTTGGTCAATGCTTTATTTCTTTTGGGGGGACTTCTGACTTTTGATTTTTAAAAGTTGTGTAAGGTCTCCCACGCAGGTGCAGGGTCCCCAGGCTTTGGGCCATCCTCAACTGCTTTCCCAATCCACAAGATCCACAAGCAGGAAGCTGGATGGGAAGTGAAGCAGCTGAGACATGAACTGATATCCGTATGGGATGCTAGCCCTTAAAGACGGAGGATTTGCCTGTTGAACCACACTGCTGACACCTTTATATTAATTTTAAAAAAAGATTGATTTTTGTTTGACAGCAAGAGTTTGAAAAAGAAGGTGAGAAGAGAGAGAGAGAAATCTTTGTATAACGGTTCACTCTCCAAATGGCCACAAAAGCTGGGACTGGGCCAGGCTGAAGGCAAGGTCCAGAAATTTCATCCAGGTTTTCTACCTGGGTACAGGGTCCCAAGGACTTGAGCCATCTTTTACTGGTTTCCCAGGCCATTAGCAGGGAGCAGGATCAGAAGTGGAACAACCAGGACATGGACTAAGTCCCATATGGGATACCAGTGTTGCAGTCAGAACCTTAAACCCCACTGCACTATAATACTGGCCCCAGGTAACTGAGAGTTTAAAATAATGACTCTACAGACACAAACATTTGACAACCATCATGGTTATTATTATTGATGTTCAAACTGTTTTACTTTTGTCCATCAGGGGCCTTCCCAAGTTGTCTTCTGACTTTTCAAACTTGGCTGGCAGCACATTGATACTCACTTGGGGAACTTTAAAAAATTGGGTCTGCACTTGCATGATTTGGTGTCAGTTGTCCTGACTGTCTTCTCATCAAGAACTCTCTGGGTTTTTTGGGTTTTTTTTTGGAGGGGGGGTGTGGATTCCATGTTGGGATCTGTAGAAGTCATAGTTTTAGAATAGCGATTTCAATATCTAATTAATAATATGAAGACAAATGTAGTTACACATTTTCTTCTTTGCAGTTCTTTTTCTTCGATGTTTCGTAGCAGGGATACATGTAACATCATTGTGTTTTCAAATCTGGTTATGTGAGGTTGGTGTGGTGGCAGAGCACACTAATTCTCTGCCCTCCAGTATTAGCTTCCCGTGTGGCTGCTGGTTCATGTCCCAGCTGCTCCACTTCCAATCCAGCTCTCTGCTTATGGCCTAGGAAAACAGTGGAGGATGGCTGATAGTCTTGGGACGCTGCACCCATGTGGGAGACCTGGAGGAAGCTCCTGATTCCCAGCTTCAGATCAGCCTTTTAAATAAAAATAAATCAATCTTCAAATCTGGTGACATATGTCTATATATGCCTATGTCACAAACTTGGACATATAGCCGGTTTCAATTTATTTCATTTTGCTTTTAAGAAGTTCCTTTTAAAATTTGATTTTTCCAATTATGTAGACTATTTCCATGGTTCTCGCTTCTAGTCTGTAAATCAAAATTTTCAGAGAAATTTAGCTTTTAAATTAGTTCCCTCTATCAGATTTCCTTTATCTACTAATTCTGCTTATCTTTTTATTTAAAAAGGCATTTCACTTCTTAGGTAAAGAATTGCAAATCATACACAATTTTCTTCAGTTAATCCTTATTTTAATATTATCCTCTTGTTAATTCCAAGGATGGTAAACAGATCCTTGTCTAATGGGGAAGATGGCAAGTATCTTTAGACTCCCTTTAGCTTGGACAACTGCATCATAATATTAGGCAGTTCCTTAGCTTAATGGTAACATAAATTTCATTTAGCCCATGTTGGAGCTGTACATGCTGCCTGAGGGTAGAAACCACCATTATGTCCATTTATGTTATCAACTACAATTTTAAACCTCCCTTAAAATCTGGGCCTAACTTTTGATAAGTGAATATAGATCAAGCGGGTGCCCAGTACGTGATAGAACTTTGTCCCCTGCTGATTATTGAGACATACATTTATTATTCATACTTCATGGTTATGCATGCATTCGCTTTACTTCCGCAGTTACAGGATTTGATCTGTGGGGTGCAGTCGTGGCAACCGGACTGGTCTGCACATTCTACTGCACTCTGGTATGTCATGATCATCATTTCCCTTTTCATTGCACCCACTTGCTTTGCATCCTTATGGTCCCCATTAGTTACATGCTGCCAGGTTAGTTCTTTAGAGCTACTCTGCTACTTCTGTCCTGCCACAGTATCAGCTTTGTGGAAGGAATGTTTGGTCAGAGATAGACTGATTCTTCATAGAATATAGTTCATCAGGACCATTGCAATGGTCCTGAACTCTGTCTCCTAATTCTTACCATTGCTAAGCTATTAAAGCTGTGCTCATGTTAGTTTCAGTTTGGAACTCTGTGATAACTTTCTACTGCCTAAAGGCATGGGTGACAAAACATGTAACAACTAGTAGGGTGTGTTTTTAGTATTTCAATGACCGAAGTGACTATCTGGGTACTTACTGATTAAATATCAGCTCTGCTAATTGAACAAAATCCATGATAATGATTTTTGCGATGTGACCTATGAATCTTCCCCAAACATTCTATATCACTTTCCATTTCACACAAAAATGCATATCTGGCCATATTTAATATTGCATGTAGTTGGAGTTTATGCTTTTGCCCATGTTATTTTATCTATAGAAAGAGAGAGAGAAAAAAATTTTCATCTACTGGCTCACTTCCCAAATGACTGTAACAGCTAGACCCGGGACAGGTTGAAGCCAGGAGCCAGGAACTTCATCCAGGTCTGCCACAGGGGTGACAGGGTCAAAACACTTGGCTTAGCTCTGCTGCTTTCCCACACACATTAGTAGGGAGCTGGATCAGAAGTGGAGCAGCCAAGACTCAAAGGGCACTCCTATGAGACACAGGGATCACAGGTGAGGGCACCACGGTGCTGGCCTTCTTTGCTAATGATTGGAGGCTTCTGGAATATCTTCTTTAGGAAGGTTCTACCAAAACCTGACAGTGTCTTTTGAGTGCACTTCTTGGTCAACATCCATGTTTTCACCGCTGTTGTGTAGTATAGTGAATAAAACATGTGGATGCTTACTAATGCCTGGTAGAAGCATTAATCCTCATGACTTTTTCCTTAAAGGGTGGTCTTAAGGCAGTTATCTGGACAGATGTTTTTCAAGCTGGAATCATGGTGGCTGGATTTGCATCTGTGATTATACAGGCTTCAGTGACTCAGGGTGGAATCAATACTATTTTGAAGGACGCATATGATGGCAGAAGATTAAACTTCTGGAAGTAAGTTGCTATTTACCTCCTGGCTAATAGGACACACATTTTATTACCTCTGTAAAAATGATCTCATTATTGAAATACTAGATTTACAATTAGACAGCAAATCAACAAAACACTAAGGATGTGATACAACAAATTTAAGGTGCTGTGTAAATGTGTAGGAGGTTTCCACCGGTTTTTAAAGGGGTTAATTAAATTAGATGGTATTTAGAGTATACCTCTTCCCAAGAAAGGACTAATATCTGTGAGTTTTCTATGGATATTAAAGCCCACAGGGGGTTAGACGATGAGGTGAGGTAGGAAAGGAAGACACGGTGGAAGGAAAATACACAAAACAAAAGCTCTGAAGAGCCACATGCTAGAAGACAGTATTGTTGCTTTGACAATTCTTTGTTTCAAGCAATTTCGACAATTTCTCTTTGGTTATTACCCTAGTGGTGCTGATAGTATACAGTAATATAATATTAGAGTAGTTTTAAAAGCAAGTGGAAAGTGGAATTAAAAGATAAGTTTATTATGGTGCAAAAAGTGGAAATCTATGAGAGATGATGAAATCTTCAAAAAGTTTATGAAAAAAATGTGTAGTATGAAAAATTATGTATGAGTTTCACATTGATTTGGCACCCCCAAAATTCTTTCAGTTTTCACGAACTTTAAAAAGTCCCATTTCATGTGTGTGTGTGCGCATTACCTAATCGTATATTATATTTCTGGAGAATTAACTGGAAAAGTTATGGTTGATGCCTCAAGTAATCGTATATACATTCATGACATAACAAGTCTTAAACAGTTGCCAAGCTTTTGTAAAGAAATATTATTGAAAGAAGACACTTAATCACAATTTTAAGTATGGTTTTTGTTCTTCCTGTTCAGTGTGGCTAAGAGCTCATTTGGACCTATTCGGTTTGTCTTCCATGAAAGAAGCCCTATTTTGATACAAGCAATCTGAAATCATTGGCAAGAAGAAAGAGAACCCATTTTATCCCAGTGGTTCCTTTCTGGTCTTCTGAAATGCAAAACAAAAGTTTGAGAAGAGCTTTCTCAAAAATTAGACAGAATCAATGGATCACTAGATACAGGGACGCATTTCAGGGAACCATCTTGAGTGGTTTTCTACATGCTTTCTCTATTTGCCCAAAGATTCAGATTCCGAGGAAGAGAGCCTCAGGTTTTTGTATCTTGACTCACGGCTCACTCCCCTGACTATGGTAGAGCACGATGTTTAGTCTGATGACCTTTAGCCTATTTAAACAAGAGGGGGATGATACCAAGAATTGAGAACAACCAATGGCTACTCCCAGCTCTCTTCTTGGTAGGCCTGGCTGAAAGGAGAGGTTATGGAATCAATCACTTTTTAATGCAAGATTGCTTTAAACTTCATGTAAAGAGATTATTCCAAAAATGCACAGATCTCAGCACTGAAGTGCAAGCTTCTACAAATAAAACATTATGCATTGTTATGGCCTTTGTTTTGATGGTTTTCGACCACAGAGTGATAATAAAAGGTCTGATGATGCTTCAGTATTTTCAAAAGTATCTCTTGTTCTGAAAGTTTGAGGGTGATGAGACAAATAACTATTTTATTTCAGATCAATGCAAAGAAATGGTATTTTAGATTGCTATTTTCTATATGGTCTGTAGTTGGCTTCTGATCTAAAGCTACTGAAATGAATGTTTAATATCAATTTTTACTTCACTCAGAAGGTTCCTGATTTCTTTTAGCTCTTGATCTTCATTCGCCAATGTGGTAGCTACTGTTTTCCAGTTGTTCACTCCTGAAACATTGAGACTTTGCTATGAAATGGTAGGCAATAGAATAGAGGCTTTTATATTTCCATAGGAGTGCCAGGATAGACATGAAATCAGAACATCTTTGTCAACTGGTTCCCCAATTTAAGCATTTACATAGAGTTTCAGAATTATATAATTTCCATAAGATGGAAGCATGGTTTGGCAGAACGTTTTAATGCTTATGTCATCTGCTAGAGATGAACAGATTCATTCCTTCTAAGGTGATCCATTTAAAAGCAGTTACAATATATTTAAAACATGAAAGTTGGACTTTGTAACAAGTTTGTACTTGTTTGCATGTCAAAAAGTGGTTTTAAACTATTAGTGTTCAGTTTGCACACACACCATATTAAGACAGCACAATTATAATGAAACGTGATAGTTTTGGAAAATGAAAGCCTTTGAATTGCATTAATTTACCAGCTTCCTGATTTTGAATAGAGATTAGAATTATGACTATTTACGTGCTAGGAGAGAAATACATACACAAAATGTGTTCGTTACATTTCCGTGTCTCCTTCTGGGGTGCACGCAGGGGTCAGTGTCTCTTGTCTCTCAGAGTGTGTGATTTGGAATGTACTCTGATTACAGTATGACAGCTTTGTGTACACAACAGCTTCCTGAAACCATGGGAGAATGACTTAAATAAATGCTCAGAATAATTACAACATTCATTTCCCTCCAGTCCTGTCTAGAGTTTCCCTCTCTCTGAAAATAATAATGCCTATGTCATTGAACTTTAGTTACAAGTACTTGTATAACTCATGTTATTTAGTAAGTTTGTACCTACTTATGTGGGTATAGAGGTACGTGTTGCTTGCATGCAGAAATATCCTAAGGCAGTTTTCAGTAGTGTTTTGTAAATAATTTAAATTTGTTTTCTGTTTCTTCTCAAATAGTTTTGACCCAAACCCATTGCAAAGACACACGTTCTGGACAATCATTGTAGGCGGGACCTTCACATGGACCACCATCTATGGAATCAACCAATCCCAAGTGCAGAGATATATCTCCTGTAAAAGCAGATTCCATGCCAAACTGTAAGTCAAATCATGGTAGATGAATCATTAATAACCATGAGTCTTCTTTATGAAGATGCTTCCCTAAGTTCCATTTAGCTTGGATATATTTTGTATCATGAAATTCTAAGAGATGAGTGATAAACCTGGTTACAAAAGGACTTTGGAGAAAAATAGTTCTACATGCCTTAAAATCATATATTGGAAAATATTTTAAATTAAGACAGTCTTATTTAAAATAATTTTGAATGAACATCCAAAAACTGAACAAATGTCTCTTAAAACTTAGTATATTTTACTTTCAGATGCAGCCAGCACCATTTAATATTGGTCATTTAGATAACTCGAGGAAAATAATTTAGTTTCTCTCAACACCAGTTTTTCTAAGTTTTGTAAACTCAGAATGAGAGGCAATGCACATCTCATGGGAGATACTGTCAAATGCCAGATTTGGCACACATATGGTTCGATAAATGCGAACTCATCTTTCCACTCCAACTGTTGAAGTCTGAAGGCAGAGGATGGGTGAGAGATCCGTGTTGATTCAGCAGAGTGAGCAGAATTGCAGCAAGTGGAGAGTGCGAGGGTGTTCCAGCCAGGCAGAGTGATTTGGAGAGAAGTAAAGATGAATTTTTTGGAGAGGGTAAGGGAAGTGTCAGAGCCTATGGAATTATATCATCAAAAACGTATCAAAAAAGGACAGAAGAACTGGAAGTGAAGATGAAGGAAGAAGGGCATGGCCAAGGACTCCGAAGCCAAGCTTGAGTATCGATTATGAGAGGATGGCCAGCTCTTCCTCTGGAATTCCTGGCCAGCTTGGTGAACAGCACTCCCTATGCTGATGAACAAGGCTGGCTCTGCCCACGTGTGCCAGGCATTTAACACTCCAAACAGAGTAAGCGTACAAGGCTGTTGTGGTAGGAGAAGCAGTGCAATGCTCTACAACGGAGGACTTGAAAATACTGTGATGTCATATGTCAGAACTCAATATGCTGAGGATATTATAATGGGGCACATTGCTCAGAAATAAAACGGTCCATGAAATAACGATGTATAGTTCATACTTAATGAATAGTCTTACAAACTGCATTTAAACATGTTTGGTGAGTCAGTATGCTGATAGTACCGATATTTAGCAGTTTATAGTTGGATGGATCATTTTTTAAAAGAAAATGAGTACTAGTCAACTGCTCTGTTGACTATTGAAATTTTTACTTTGTGGTAAGAAGTTCTAAGGCAATATAATTAGACACCATTATGAATCTGACAATTTCTACAGAATTTCAACAAGGAAGATACTCATCCTATAATAAAATATGTTGCATATTCTAAATGTTTTTGATACATTAAGGATTGACATTATCAGCCAGTTAGACTACAGTAATAAATAATGTTTTTGATAAGCATACCATAATGTGCATTTCTTGAGTATAATTATGAAAATCCAACTTGTGAAATAATACCTTTAGGATAGAAATTACAACACTCAGTTCACTGTTTGCTTTTGCATCTTCAGATCTCTCTACATCAACCTTCTTGGACTCTGGGCAATCCTCACCTGCTCAGTGCTGTGTGGACTCGCCCTGTATTCCAGGTACCGTGACTGTGATCCTTGGACATCCAAGAAATTGTCTGCACCAGACCAGGTTCAGTACCATGCCTTTCTTACATGTGCATTAATGACTTCTAAAAGGATGACATGTTGGGAGGAAAGGAAGTCGTGTTTTGTTAAGAAACAGCAAAGGGGCACAATATAATCTTCTTAATTTCAATCAAGTTTGACAAAAAAATTCTTTTAGCAGATAGAGCAAGATTAAAGGGTATGATATATAAAATGAAAATATTGACATATCTAAAATTTTCACATGAAATGTTAAGCAGAAATACTTTAAAGCTGGCATAGAAATGCAAACATAGTTTTAAGCACATGTACATACACACAGCTGGTGATGTGGTATAGCTGGTTATGCCACTGTTCCTGATGCCAACACCCCTTATGGGGGCATTAGTTGGAGTATTGGCTGCTCTATGTCCGATCCTGCTTCCTGACAATGCATCTAGGAAATCAGCAGAAGATGGCCCAAATGGGGACCCTGTCTGGAAGAAGGGTCTGGTTCCTGGCTTTAGCCTGGGCCAATCCTGGCTGTTATGGTCATTCAAGGATTCAAACAACAGATGGAAATTCTCTTTCTCTCTCTGTAACTCTCTCAAATAAATCTTTAAATGGTTTTGGCTGCATCTGAAAGTGAAACACTATGTTTTAAGACATTCATTTACTCTGGATGCTACACAGTGTATCTGTGGCATCAAAACATCACATAGTACTCCCTAAATATGTCCGTTTTTGAATGTTTATTTAAAATTATTTTAAATAAGACTGTTTTAATTAAAAATTTTTCAAATACATAATTTAAGGCTTATAAAACTGTTTTTTTTTTCCTGCTAAGTATTGGTCATTTGGATAACTCCAGGAAAACAATTTAGTTTCTCTCAACACCAGTTTTTCTAAGTTTTGTAAACTCAGAATGAGAGGCAATGCACATCTCATGGGAGATACTGTCAAATGCCAGATTTGGCACACATATAGTTCAATAAATACGAACTCATCTTTCCACTTCATCTGTTGAAGTCTGAAGGCAGAGGATGGGTGAGAGATCCGTGTTGATTCAGCAGAGTGAGCAGAATTGCAACAAGTGGAGAGTGCGAGGGTGTTCCAGCCAGGCAGAGTGATTTGGAGAGAAGTAAAGATGAATTTTTTGGAGAGGGTAAGGGAAGTGTCAGAGCCTATGGAATTATATCATCAAAAATGTATCAAAAAGGACAGAAGAACTGGAAGTGAAGATGAAGGAAGAAGGGCATGGCCAAGGACTCCGAAGCCAAGCTTGAGTATCGATTATGAGAGGATGGCCAGCTCTTCCTCTGGAATTCCTGGCCAGCTTGGTGAACAGCACTCCCTATGCTGATGAACAAGGCTGGCTCTGCCCACGTGTGCCAGGCATTTAACACTCCAAACAGAGTAAGCGTACAAGGCTGTTGTGGTAGGAGAAGCAGTGCAATGCTCTACAACGGAGGACTTGAAAATACTGTGATGCATTTCAGTCTCTATTGTCTATAATTTGTAGCATGGAGCTAATAGAGATTTTACAATAGTTTCTAATGTACCTTCGTTGTATCCAGGGTGAAAACAAAGCAAAAGCCAAACGGCTCTACAACTTCCTTCGGTTGAAACTAGCAAAGAAGGCATTCAGGGGTGTATTGCTTGCATGCACTAACATGTCCTGAGATGCCCCCTCTATCTGCTGGTTGCTAGTTAATGGGCTGATTCAATTGGCATTTCCCTGGAGACTCAATGTGAATAACAGGGAATCCATGGGAGATCACGTCAAAACATTATCCTCAGAAGAGCAAACAGGCTTACTCTCTCCTGACACACCAGGTGCTTAGACAGAGTGTAGCTACTTTGCTGCCCATCAGTATTAACCTGATGGCTCTCCTGATATCTGAGGGAGTCATCCAAAGTATGAAGTAACTGTACTGACATTTTTTGGGGAATGTTGGAAATAATGTAGAAGATTTTGGACCAGGTTATAAAACTAGTGAGGGAACTTTTCCTTTTGCTTATCTGTGGACTACTGTGTCCAGTTAAACTTTTAGAATGTGTCCAGTCTGAGTCTTTCACATGGACTTGGATACTTGAGCCATCAACTGCTAGCTCTGAGGGTGCATATTAGTAGGAAACTGGATTCAGGAGGGCATCTGCGGGTTGACCGGCACTTGGATACGGGAAGGAGGCATCCTAAATGTTGTTTTAAACTATTGCATCGAAAGCCTATCCCAGGACACTTCACATTAACAAATAATTTTGCAGAAATATTGTCACGTCATACAATACTAAAATCACGTACCTGCCCATTTCGATTTAGTATCTATTTTAAGAAATGTAAGTCATCGCACAGCAGATTAGAAGCATGTTCCAGGGATCGCCTGTGGTCACCCTCCAAGCGGACTGTGTCACATTATATATGCCTTAAAATTACATTTTAAGTTTTAGAGAAGTTCACAAAACTGCCTTGAGTCGTCAAGTAAAGTTAAGAGGATGTTTCTTACTTACAACAGTTTGTAAAATAGTTCATTTAAAAAGATTAATAATTTTTTTAAAAAAAGATTTATTTATTTTTATTGGAAAGTCAGATTTACAGAGAGGAGAGACAGTGAGAAAGATCTTCCATTCACCGATTCACTTCCCAAGTGGCTGCAACAGTGCGAGCTGAGCCAATCCAAAGCCAGGTGCCAGGAGTTTCCTCTGGGTCTCCCATGCAGGTGCAGGGTCTCAAGGCTTTGAGCCATCCTTTACTGCTTTCCCAGGCTACAAACAGGGAGCTGGATGGGAAGTGGAGCAGCTGGGACATGAATTGGCCCCCATATGGGTTCCTGGTGCATGCAAAGTGAGGACTTTAGCCATTAGGCTAACACGTGAGGTCCAGGACTTATAATTCTACAGAATAAAAGCTACTATTATTGGGTTAGGCCATATTCCATGTCAGAAGTTTTGGCCTAGATTATGCACTTTTACAGCAATTCTATGAAGTTGGTGTTATCTCAGTTTTACAAATGCAGGAACTGAGTTTTAGAAAAATTGAACAATCCAAGCCAACTTTTCCTAAGTCCTTAGCCTGTTTAGGCTGAATAGAATGCTGGTTTGTTTTTCTAAATGGTAACAGTGAAAGAGTTCACTTTCAGAAATTTAGCAATTTCAGATATATGGGATGTCTCTATCTCTGAAACAACACTAGATATATTAAATATTGATTTTATTCTATGGCAATTTATTTAGAAATAAATTTTGGAATTTTTCAGCTCATGCCTTATTTGGTACTGGACATTCTGCAAGATTATCCAGGAGTTCCTGGACTTTTTGTGGCCTGTGTTTACAGTGGAACGTTGAGGTATGATGCATGTGCCCTTTAAGGAGATCTTTCTTTTATTATTGGCTGCTTTGGGGGATGAGCTGAGTTACGGACGTGGTCACAAATGGTCCCAAGTAGGCATGTTACTCTGTTGATCTCTTACTGTTGTCATCAGTCTCTGCTTTTAGCCAGGTCTTTGTTCTTGAATACAATATTACATATTCTACAGGATGGCCATAAATGATGACCAGCTCTCATCGGCTCTGAAAAATGGGTGTCTACTCTTTTGGTTTAAAGTAGATGTGTGGTTAAAGCAGGATCAACTGGAAAATTACATCTCTTTTGTACGTGTTCAATGTCATGTATTGTCTAAAGAAACTTATATTTTGTGATTCAAAATATTCCTTGCAGATTCTTCGTGTATTTGCTCCAGGGAATTACTATTAACACATTCAGAATATCTTATCAGTGAATCAGGAAAGTAATGTTATTGATAGTACAACATATCAGGGAGGAGTTAGAACTCTTCCTGTACCCAGGGAAAAATATGTCTTGAGGTTATTATTTAACAATAATCGGTAAGCTTTGTAGATTTCTTTTCATCAAAAACAATGGAAGCAACATAAACATGCCCTCCCTTATTTACTACTGAGCCTGTGGGTGTTGCTGAATCATCCTTGTTTGATAAAAGCTACCAGAAAGAGGATGCTTTTATCATTAAGACTAATGAAGACATTTGGTGCTGTTTTAGAGATTTGCTCCCTGTTTCTTTTGAGCAGGGTTGTTAATGAATAATGTTGCCAACATTCTCTTTTCCCTCACAGCACAGTGTCCTCCAGTATTAACGCCTTAGCAGCAGTGACTGTGGAAGATCTCATCAAACCTCATTTCAGGTCACTGTCGGAGAGGTCTCTGTCTTGGATCTCACAAGGATTGAGTAAGTTTCCATTCCCATGAGGCATCTTAGCACAGACAGATGATTTTGCTTTTTGAGGTGTTATAAATTCTTGTCCTTTGAAGATACCTTTTGATAACTCCTGACTGTACTTCTATGACTGAATGCAGATATGACCATATTTGTAACCAAGATCTGAGAGACACTGAAAGCATGTAATTGTCAGTGGACCATAAAGGACAGTTCATGGGCATCCTGTTTGAGCTTCTTTCTTTCTTTTTTAAAATTTGTACTGATAGGAAGAGTGTCCTTTTTCTTAATCTCATTTTATCCCAAGTCTATGCTCAGACACTTAGGCATAAGGAAAAAACTCAGCCATTTCCTTTTTAACCTTACTTCATAATTCTAAGAAATGCTTCAGTTTGAGGCCAATAGCCACATTTCCCCTAGATTGTGTAGTAGGCACAGCCAGTTTTAGGTCTCTGTGTGAACTGCTGATGAAGACATAGAATGTTATGATTTTTAACCTGCTTGGTCTGGTTCTGTCTGCTCACACACAGTGTCCTGGAGACGGTCCATCACCCTGTGGAGAGGATTTTGTTTCTATTCTGAGATTGCAGAACTCCATTAGGAGTTAAACACCAGCTTGAGCAGAGAAGTGTCAGAGTTCCCAGTACCCAGACATCCCAAATGTCATTCATATTTGACTCAGAGAAATCTGCCTAGTATTCATCATTCACTTAAGCATCTCTAGTACATGTGTATGAGTCATCGATAAATTGGCTTTTCTTCTTTAGAGCAAACTTTACCTCAACACAGTAACACTAGTGTACTGTGACAGACACATCAAACAAGACTGTTTTGACTCACCATTTTAGGTACAATTATCATGACAGTAGCCTGAAATAAATATCTAATGAATATTTTCAGTGTTCTTTAAATGTAAATCAATTTAAATAGCAATTTCATTTTATTATACTCTCGATTTTAATCCTGGAGCAGAATTTCAGAGTGATAAAATGCTTCCTCTATAAGCATAAAACCTGCTATAGAGATACTGCAGTTATGGAAACAGGCTAGCATTTGTCCCATAATATATTGGAAATAAAACAGTGCTTCCTAAAGAGTACTTAAATTGGGTAATGATGGAATTATTGCAAGTACGTGGCTTAGTTGAAATGAAGAGGTGTGTATTTAAGCTCGTCAGACTCAGTCTTACTTCAGCTTACTAGTGTTTAGCCTTGAATGAATCTAATAACTTGTAGGTGTCTTTATTTCTTCATTTGGAAAATGGGAATGCTAGCAGGTTTAACTAGGAGGTTCTGAGATAACGCTTATGAAACAAGAGGCACTAACTTGTCCCCACGAGGTGATGTAGATGACTCATGGCAGATGATCTCAACTAGAACAGATGAAATTTTCATTCATTTTGAAGTACTGTACAGACTCACCATCCCAAGGAGTGCACAGAGAAAAACACAGCGGGTGTTTGATTTTTCTTCCAATATCATGGTGACCACTCATGAACTATTATTCGGTGGAAAGAAATCAAGCTAAATATACTAGGAAATATTATATATATTAGGAATGAGAGGCATAAAAATATCATTGCAAAAAGCACCCTTTCTCAAACAATCTGATACTTTTCACTCAGCTGCAATTATTTGTTCGCACACTTCAGAGAGGTGTGACTGTTCATATACGTAAGAGACGAGTAACATAAGGAATACACCAACTGTAAATGAGCAAGTTTCTCATTTTTCCTTTAAAATTTTGAGTATGGAAAATAACATCAACTGATTTCAGGTCATTTCTGCTAAAAGAAATTCTAACAATGACGTTTTCTGGGTAGAATAATTTAGAAAGTAGTAGATGCATCTGAAGAAAATTCGGAAGAACAGATTTCCGTAAAGTGATCATCAATAGCAGCCTGGGGATTTCTATGAAGTTTAGGGGGAAACAGCTGGATAGAAGAGGGAGTACAGTCATTCTCTTGAAGTTCTCTTTGCTAACTTAACTGAAAAATCTGGGAACAGAGATGAGGCTGGAGGGTGCAGATCACAATTTCCGAAGAACACCTGTTTGGGATATTTGCATCGCAAGAAAAAGAATGCTGAAAGTGAGCAGACTGAATTTCTGATGTTCCTTGCTGTCCTTCCTTCTTGTCCTGCAGAGCTCAGCTCAAGTCTGGGTTATGTTTGGCAGGTTGAAAACGGATACCTGAGCCACCTTTTATAGACAAATGTTTGTGGAGGATTGGATTTATAGCACAATAGTCCTTAGTCTTAAGATCCCTGTAATTAATTCCAGGGATTCTTTACTTATGTAAGCCACTGTTGGAATTAATCTTGAGACACAATAGAGGGGCTTTGTCCTCTTTGCATACCACTGATCCTCGCAGGAAAACAACCCTCCCTTTCTGTGGCTGGCTCTGGTGTATGTGGTCACTCTCCATTACAGTCATAGTATTCATGGTGAATTAAAGCTGAGGTGGTTTGCCCCATGGGAAATTCCAATTTTATCGTGGCTTCTCCTCTGTCCATTCAGGTGTGCTGTTTGGCCTGTGCTGTATTGCGATGGCTGCTCTGGCATCACTGATGGGAGCTCTGTTACAGGTAAGAGTAACCCCCGAAATTCGAGTCATAATCAGAAAATCTTTTTCTGAAATGTCTATGTGACCATCCTTCCAGACTTCTCTTGACGTGTGCTGCATCTACACAGATATACAAAGGGACAAAAATGACTCTCTATAAAAATATTCTACTTTGAGATAACTGTAGATTCACATAGAGTTGCAAGAAACAATACAGAGAGATCATATACCTTTTCTGCAGTTTCCCTCACTGTTAACATCTATTCATTTTAACAATTGACAGTATAATATTAAAATCTGAATACTGGCATTGATATAGTCATGATAAAAAGCATTTCCATTTTATAAACACATTCAGTTCCAGCCTGTCCCCAACTCCCTCCTTAACCTCTGGCAATCAATAATATTTTCTATATTCTCCACTCCTGTAATTTTGTCATGTCAAGAATGTTATCTATGGAATCAAACAAGATTGAGATTGTATGTATAATTAGTTGATACCTTTTTATTTTTGGACATTCTATGGTTTGAGTATATCATGGCACTTTTCTGTTAAAGATATCTGAACTGTTTCCAGTTTGAGGATATTACAAATACATCTGTTGTAGAAATTCATGTACGTGTGTGTGTGTGAGAGAGTCTTCATTTCTCTGAAGCAAATACTAAGTAGTGCAGTTACCAGATAGTTGAAATTATTTATTTATTTATTTATTTATTTATTTATTGTTTTAATTTCATTTCATTTTATGACACATTCATAGGCTCTGGGATTCCCCCAACCCCTCCCCATGCCTTCCACCCATGGTGGATTCCTCCACCTTATTACAGTAGTACAGTTCAGATCCAGTCATGATTCCTTCATTGCAAGCATGTACCATGCAGAGTCCAGCATCTTATTGTCCAGATAGATTCAACAGTTTCTTGTGGAGACCATCTCTGGTCTGAAAGCAGAGCTGGCAGAATATCATTCCCTCCAATGAAAACTCACAACACAACATCAACAACAATTTACAACACTGTGGAGTTAAACGACATGGTATTGAGTGACCGATATATATTAGAAAATGCAAGTTCTTAACCACATCCAGTGACTGCTTCATTGACATTTCAGTTTTAGTTTATACACAACTGGCTGCTTTACACATTAAAATGGCTCAAGGGTACTATTCAGCTGTCTCGTGTCTATTTTGATTTTTATATTTAGCAGTTTATGGTATTGAAGCATAATTTTTACTGAACTTGGTGAAATTTAGGATAGTCCAAACTGGCTTATAACTCTAACAAGGCATATGTCAACAGTTGAGGCACAGAACAGTTTTAGGAGCGGCGTGCAGAGAAATCTTCAATATCTTAGTGAGGAGTAACTAATCTTTGTGTCCTATCTAGTAAGGTATATGTGAGTCCAAGCTGACCGTTTCCTGTCTGGTTCTAAGCATTCCTTATTGGTTTCTGTCTATCTAATCTAATTTTGGGGGGGTTGGGGCTCTGGAGTGACCTTGATGGTCATTGCAAGAGAGGGTTGTACAGTTACCAGATAGTTGAGTTTTTTTTTTAAAGACACTACTCTTTTGTTTTCTGTAGTGATCTTGCCATTTTACACCGCTGGCATGTATGAAGAATTCAATTCCTTCTTATATTTTCCAACACTTTGTGGTTTCACTGTATTTTACATTAGCCATTTTATAGGTGTGTAGTGATATACTACTATGACTTTAATTTGCATTTTCCTAGTGGCGATGATGTTGAATGTTTTTTACTTGCCATCTCTGTATCTTCTTCCACAAAGTGTCTTTTTTTATTCACCCACCTCAATGTTGAATTCTTTGCCTTTGAAAATTAATAGTCTTTCACAGAGCAAGCTTTCAGTTTGTTGAAATCCAGTTTGTCATATTGTGTTTTTGTGAAGTGTACTTTTGGTGTGGAACTTATGAACTCATCCCCGATTTATCTGTTTTTTAAAGTGTAGAGGTTTACACTTCATATTTCAATCTACTTTGGAGTTTTTTGTAAAGTATGAAAGATGAAACTTAGGTTGACATTCTTTTTCTCCCAAGGGATTTTCAAGCAGTAGTGTTTGTTGAAATGCCTATCTTATTTCTATTCAATTGTCTTTGCATCTTCGCTAAAAATGTATTTGGCATATTTTCTTGAAAGCTGTGTTCAATTCCATTGGTTTATTTGTCCTTCCCTCTGCCATACCATACAGTCTTAATTACTGTAGCTTTACAATTTATCTTAAAATCTTTATTCTGATTTTGTTCAAAATTGTTTTAGCTATTCCATTTCTTCTGCCTTCTCAGATACATTTTAGAATAATTTTGTCTGTTAGAAGCATTGCTTATATTTTTATCACATTAAACTTTATCAGCATTTGAGAAAAACTGTCATCTTTACTATGATGAATTTTCTAAAATATGAGTGCAATAATGAAATGAGCTCTTTTGAGCTTAAATATTTCCCTTCCAGCATTGATGCAGCATTTTTTAAACCAACTTTTGATATTGTGTGTTCTTGTTTTGATTCAGTGGATATGTTTTTAAATTTTCTTTGACATACTCTTTTTCTTTACAATTATTTAGAAATGTGTCACTTGGCTTATAAACATTTGGACATTTTCTTGCTCTTTGTTACTGACTTATCATTTGAGTCTCCTCTGGCCAGAGAACATACCATGTATGATTTCTGTTTTATGGTCTAGGATGTATCTTTTTGTTCTATGGGCGTTTGAAGAGATTATGTATTCTGCTGTTGTTATGTGGAGGGTGTTGTAAATATCAACTATATTAGGTTTGTTGGTATGGCATTATTCTATATCCTTACTGCTTTTCTGTTTTTCTAATCAATTGTTGGGAATCGGTGATGGATTCTCCGAGTATGATTATGTATTTATGTATTCTCCATCAATTTTTCTTCTATATATTTGTGATTCTGTTGTTTGGTGCTTTCTACATTCGTAATTGCTAAAACTTCTTAGGGGATTAATTTCTGACATTGTAAAATGTCTCTGACAATTCTCTAATTAGTCTGATATTAATGTAGTTACTCATGCCTTCCTTTTTTCCTTTTAAACTATTTTTAAAATTATTATTTTATAATACAGTTCCATAGGCTCCCCAAGTTCCTCTTTAATGGTTGCATGATATGTCTTTTGTCATACAATACTTTGGATTTATCTGTATTGTTATGTTTGAGATGTTATATTATTGATAAATTTAGATTAAGTTTAAATAAGTATTAGTATATATTAGGGCATAAGTCTGTTTTTGTTTTAAGTACCCCATAGGGTGCTTAGAATTTAATTTTATCCATATTGTTTCATCTTCATCTTTTTATACAGCATTTTAGTGCTTCCTTTGTGTGTGTATATATATATATATATATACATATATAGTGATTCCTTTGTGTTTATATATTGTTTAGACAATATTTCCTTGAGCACTCCTCAGCTCTTTCTCTGTCTCATCACCTGTGACTCTGATGACTTGAATACTAGATTTCTTGTTTTAGAGTTCCACATTACACTGTTGTCCAACTGGGTTGTTTTTATTTATTTGTCTTTACATTCATGAGCTCTTTTCTCTGCTCCTTTTATTCTGCTGTTGAGTTTAGTCATTGAGATGTTTCAGTTATGGCATTTTTAAATTCTAAAATTTGTCCATTTGTCTCTTAAAAATTATATCTTTTTTCCTTTCTGTGAAGTTTTTTTTTTTTTGCATCTTTTCTGAAACCTCCCTCTTTTTTTTCCCAGTGTGTCCTAGTTGATGTTGGTCAAAAAAATTCCAATGTCTCAGTCTACATGGGTGGGCATCTATGGATTGTCTTCCAAAATTCAGTCTGAGATCTGGTTCTCGCCATGAAAAGTGATTTTTGACTGACGTCTAGGAATTTTTGCATTATGTGATGAGACTTTGGGTCTCACTCACACCTTCTGATGTTGGTGGATTTCCGGGACACAACTTCAGTAGGGTGAGGGAGGGTGCTGCCTCATGACTCCCATGTGGGGAAGAAGTCCAGGTTCCCCACTTGACCTTTAATGACCCCTGAGGAAGGAGCTCCTTGGTATGCCTGCTGGGCTTGCAGCATATGCGTTAGGAGATGCAGTCTGTCAGCAAGATCAATGGTAACCTCGAGGCCCATGCACGTGTCTTATAACACTGAAGTCTGGTGTCAGCCTGAGACGCAACCTGGCCCAAAGATTTCCAGAAGGTGAGGTCGCCTCATGACAGATGCAGCTCTCTTAAACCTCTGGCAAGTTTACCTTTGCAATAATAGTTTAAACTTGCTGTGTGAAAGAAATAGTTGGTGCCTGACCTCTATTAAATATCAGTTTAAATAAAGGGATAGGCTCATTTAGAACTTTTAGAATGGCTTTTGTGTAGAGACCCTCCCCGGCCCCATCAGTCACCTGACTTGTGGTTGCACTGTCAGCATTACAGGTCCCCACCTGACTCACAATTGTGAAGTGGCTGCCACCTCCACAATGAGTTACAATGATCAAGAACACATCCTAGGCCCCAGGGAGGTCCTCAGAGAGGTCCCATTCATGACATGCATAGAAATTCAAAGCCTGCTCAAAAACCTGACGCAGGGAGCTAATGAGAAAAGCACCTACTGTTTTTATCATATGTACCTGACTGCAGTCTACAGGTCGAGAGATAATCAGCTGGCATCCACCTCCAAAGACAACAGGATCGGTTCATTACTCAAAGATCATCATGTCAAGCTTGTTCAGGAGCCAGAGGGGAAGAGCGTGTGGAGACAAGCTCTTCCTGTTCTCTGCTGTAGTGATTGTTCAGGGCCTGGTGCACAGCACACACCAGCATGAGCCTCCTGACATCCAGAGCTCAAAGTGACCCACACAGAGCGGAAGGAGAAACGCAGCTGCTGAGGTATTTAGACATGCTCAGAGGAGACCATCAGCCACCACTCCCATAGGACAGAGATGCCCTGGGACAGACAGCTCAGAACACACTACCTCACAGCTGGTTTTTAGGGATGCCTCACCATGGGCCAAATCAACTTCCCCGAGGCTTACAACCCACACAGTCAACCAGACTATACAGGCTTTTATCACCCTGAGAAACAGATAGGTACAAATCCTCCAGTATGAATCGATCCCCATGAACAATTTGACCCCTCAATCTGCACAAAAGGGCAGAGCGGCCTCTACTGGCTGGTGTCTTGAAGCACACTCTCACATTGGTTCTCAATCCTCAAGAAACCCTTCAGATCATTCTTTCAGCTAGAATGTCCCATCCCCTTGCCCATCTGGGAAGCTCAACACACACACTTTTCCACCTGTTATAAAGATGTCTCCATTGTTAACACTCTGGAGCCATGCTCTGGTTACACAGCCTGATCCAACTGTGGCAGGTATTACCTGACTGATAATATCTGACTGGTTGTTTGTCCAGTAGTCTCTGGCGACATTTCCATCACCTTTTCTACAGCCGGTGCCTTCTATCCCTTGAAGCCATTTGGGATGGAAAAGATCCAAAAAGCTGGCTTGCCTGGACCATCTTCACGGTGAGGCTTTTGCAATGCTGACATGACCTCAAGTGGATAAGGCATCTCCAGAACTTGGGTTTGGTCCTGAGTCCTCCCAGGCCTCTTGACCCATTCCAGTCTGCACTGTGCTGTTATTCTGAAACTCAGAGCCTGCTTAAGTTCACTCAACTCCCTTTACATTGCGATATACTTGTTGGCAAAGCCCCGGTGTGCTCACTGCCTTCCATTTCCCCAAGTGGTCTGAGCAAAATATCCAGTTGAGACTTCTCCCCACCTATTGGCCAGTTCTTTGGCACTGAGGTCACTGCCAATTTCCACCTAAAGGTTACTTAAGCCATCCAAGAAGCTGGTGATTCAGCTTGTTTGGCATACCTTCACCAGCCTTCTACATTTGTCTATTCTTTATAGTCAACCCTGGTTACCACCTGCTCTACCTTGTCATTGGTGAAGCATAACATACTCACCCCTTAAATGGCTTACGTCTTATTTATTCTTCAACCTTCAGCTTAAACATGATGCAATCAGAAAGATACATCACTTGGATAAATTTGAAGTCTCTGCTAAATGTTCCTAGAGTACTTCCTCTTTTCGCATCATATTCACTGTCATACTTTATTGAATTTATTCATTTAAAGTCTATTTTACCAGTCTGTCAGTTCATGAAGATGAGGATGATGATGTTGTTATTCAGCACTACATGAAGTACAGCAACTGCAATGCTCAAAACAAAGATGGCATTTAACAAATTAAGTATAAGGTACCTGCTTCAGTATTGGTTTCTAAATGCTGACTTTGTAATTCCAAGTGCTACCTTCCTAAAATTTCTCTGGCTGCTTGAGATCCTCCTTTGGGAGTCCCAGATCCCTTCATGATCGAGAAAGCTCAAAGTTAAGATTGAGTAAAGAAAGGATCCTCTAAGATGCTATTCCAGTCCAAAGGCTTGGGTCTGTTTGGGTTGATTGTTACTTAAGGCACCTGTTTTTAAACCGGTCTGATGTCACCTCTGATTTTCTGAATAAATCAGTGAAGTTCAGAGGCTCCAAGCCTATCCAACACACCTGAGTCATAAGACGTCTTCTGAGTGTACTTTTCCCGTAGTCTACTTCAAAGCTGATAACTCGTAGTGTGATCAGTTCCCCATTCTTTCATGTGTCAGCTCCGACCTGACTGTACGGTGACATCTTCTGTTAGAGTTGCCACAATTCGAAGCCAGTTTTTGCTTCATCTCTGGTCAAGGTCTTATTTCTCCTGGCTGATCCTGTCTTAGATACCTTCCATGTATTTCCAAAATTGGTTCACAGATCACACTGTCACAACTTCCCCAGGGATCTGGCGTCTCTCGCAGCTTGCAGGGGAGTCCTTCTCCCTTTCTACTGAACTCTGCTGTGAATTCACTCATCTTTGATTCCACACTCCTCACACACAGGTTTTGTCTCACCAGCACCCAAACTCCTATCCATATTCCACAAGGTAGGAGAATGATGTTGACAAAGACACTTATATAAAACACAGGCTGCAGTCTATTCCCTCTAATGGTTTCTTGATTAAATGTTTTCTCTTGGAATATATTTGCCCTACTCTATTAGGTCTCTTCCCTGTGACAAACCAAACTGCCCTATATTTTATGGCTTTGTCCAATCCTAAACACTGGGCATCTGATAGTTATTTGGAAATGCCTATCTTGGAAGCTGGAGTTATTTATGTTTCCTCATTCTTCACGTCGGGATCTTCTTCCATCTCTTGGGTTGGCATTTCTATCTCAAAATAAATGTTATAATTACCTGATTCAATTTTGTATTTGTTTCTACATGATTTGATTAGCCTTTGTCTTTTTTTTTTAAATATTTATTTACTTTTATTGGAAAGTCAGATCTACAAATAGGAGAGACAGAGAGAATGATCTCCCATCCGATGATTTACTCCCCAAGTGGCCACAACAGCAGGAGCTGAACCAATCCGAAGTCAGGAGCCACTTCCGGGTCTCCCACATGGGTGCAGGCTCTCAAGGCTTTGGGCCATCATTTAATGCTTTCCCAGGACACAAGCAGGGAGCTGGAAGGGAAGCAGGGCTGCCAGGATTAGAACCAGTGACCATATGGGATCCTGGCATGTTCAAGGTGAGGACTTTAGCCACTAGGCTACCGTGCCAGGTCCCCAGCCTTTGTCTTTCAAAGCATATTTTTATTTTAGTGCCATCATTAGGGAGCCAAATCAGAAATGGCAACTGGATTTCATTGCCATCCATAGCCATTAGACTACTAGCTAGTTTGAGGAGGGCTTTGAGACCACTAAGCAACAAAGTAGTGATGTGACCCATTTACAGAGTGGCCCTGATTTCTGCCTGCCTTCGGGCGCTCTCAGTGTCTCAGGATGATCATCTTTGCATTTGTTACCAGGACGAACAGATGGAGACTTGAGCTTGAGAAACAGAAGGTTGCAAGTTTTAGTTACCTCTTTTGCAGTGACGAAACTGCCATGGATAAACTGATTTTTTTTTTTTTTTCAGAAGAAGCCTGAGTACTTTAAATCATCATCCTGATGAATTTATTTCAAAACATTTTGGCTTGGAGTTGGGGTTGCTGTTGTTGACTTTTTGTTATTTTTGTAGGCAGCACTCAGCATATTTGGAATGGTTGGTGGACCACTTCTGGGCTTGTTTTCACTGGGCATCCTGGTTCCTTTTGCCAATCCAATCGTGAGTATAAAGAATATGAGTCAAGGTTACTATGCTAACTACAATAGAAGCTCTATATTTTTTTTCTCAGTTGTAAAGATATAGTTTCTTTGGGATCTCTCAATATTGACTTTTCCTGATGACTGAAATGACTCATTTGATGTTTGGCTCCCTGCTCATAGCCTGGGGAGGTAGCCTAGGTACTTGGGCTCTTGGCTGCTGGCTTCTGCTTAGTTCAGCCCTGGCTATTGTGGCCACTTGGGGAATGGACTAGCAAATAGCTTTCTCTCTCTCTTGCCCTTCCCTACCGCCCCATCTCCGTCTTAGCCTAAAAAGGGTGGTCATATCTGGAAATATTATTAAGAAAGATGATAGTTATTCTCCAGACATAGCTATACCTAGAAGTACTAAATTTTGTTTGGAAAAAATGAAATAGAAATTGTTTCTCTGAAATCAAGGACAAAGTCTACCAGCTCAGTTCTGCTGCAAGATGAAGTTCAGGAAAAGTTGACCATACACACTTGGTTCAGATATCCATGGAGTAACTCATCAATGATGACTTTACATGCAAAATTCTGTAAACAGTGTTAGTAATTGTCCAGGCAGACAACAGTCAGGGCTGGCGTTGTTACTGTCTGCGTTCCTTTGGGGTGGCCTTTTTCCTTGGGTTCTTCCCTCCTCATTCACACATTCACTCACTCCTTCAGTGAATATTTGTGGAATGGACATTGTTGTGGAAGAAAACTAAATGTTTGCCCTCAAGAATTGTTTTGCACTTGTGGAGATCTGAGAAACCCTGCACAATGCTGAAAGTCAGCTCAGCATGACCTGTAAATAACTGGCCGTCATACTATGCCAACCTGTTAGTGAAACAAAATGACGGTGTCCCTACTGGGTGTGCATGGTGGTGAGCTGCAGGCACCAACATTAAAGACACACAATGCAGAGCTCAAGGAGCTTGCAACTTGTGAAAATGCTCACAGTTCTCACCTTTAATATCCGTTTCTGATCTGACCAGTGGCTTTTCCTCTTTCCATCTTTCGTCCTATCCTGTTATGTCATGCACATTTCCCTGCTACTGGATTCTTACTCCTACATGAGGGGAATAACCGTCCAGAAGGAGGTGAGCTCTGGAGCCCATCCTTGGAGCGAGAACGTAAAACATTGAAAGGCTAGCAGAATGCCTGGGTTATTGCTACACACACACACACACACACACACACACACACACATATGCCATAGAGCACACAAATCTTTCAAAGACGTGGGATTCAGACGATTTCAGAGGTGAGAGGTGGGCCAGGTTCTCCCCTCTGCATGACCTCTATTTCTAGACAGGTTTGGTTGTGTGCACTGCCGCAGCCATTTGTAAACACGGGCTGCTAGTTTCCTCCTACGTACCCCACAGCACAATTACACCCATGCTTATTGTTGAGTGTTAAAGAAACTCTGACTAGGCTTTCTTCTTGTTAATGTGCAGCTCATAGGGCATGCCATTTGTTTATAGATTTGGTAACATAGAGGGACAAACGGCCTGGAGTCAGCGACATGACTGCTTTGGTTGTTGGGTGCGAGGTCAGAGCAGAGTGCTAGTTAAGGAAACACAGTGGAAAGAAGTGGTTTATGAGGCTTTGGAAATGAAAAATAAGCAGAGACTGATGACCACTTAATTAGGAATATGGAAAAAGACGTGTACAGAATCTCCCGGGTTCCAGGGGTGAGGGATCAGGAGGCAATGGTATTTTGAAGAAGAGAAAGAAGTTTTGTGAAGGAAGACAGTTTTAGGAGGGAAATTGGTAAACTTGGGTTGAACTATGTTGAACTTAAATTTTTAATGTTAATTTCCATCTCAAAGAAAACTATTTATCTTTTAAAAAGTTCCTTTGTTTTTCAGGGAGCACTTGTTGGTCTGATGTGTGGATTTATCGTTTCTTTATGGGTTGGGATTGGATCTCAACTTTATCCTCCACTTCCTGAGAGAACTATGCCATTACACCTTGAAACCCGTGGCTGTAACAGCACGTACAATGGCACAGATTTAATGGCAACCACAGAAATGCCATTTTCGACTAGTGCTTTCCAAGTGCACAATGTTGAAAGGTATTAAGTTGTGTCATAATATTGCATTCTAAAAAACTTATATGACAAGTAAGACAAACCAAATTGCCCTTTTTCTTCTAACATTATAGTTTTACCTAAGTCTGAAATGCATAGAGCCCATAGCACTTAGAGGTATCCAAAAATAGCAAAAACACCATGTTTTCTTCATTTCTGTACAAATTTCTCCTACCTATAGGTCTGGTGATGACTTATTAATGAAATAAATCCTATGAGTGAATCCTGCCAAACATCAATCCTAACTGAATGAAAACTATCTTTAAAAATGTTTAAAATGAAAACACAACTAGAAAAGGAATACTGCTGATTTTGTCTTTAAAAGAGAGCGTTTGCTAACAGCTACAGTTAACTAAGTGTATTCAGTAACTGCTGCGCATTTTGTTTTAGATTCCAGATCTTCCTAACAGTAGCAAGGAGTTGCCGCTATCATTTTGCTGTTGGAGTTTTCACTTGTGTGGCACACTTTTGAGCCCCAACTTGTATGATTTAATAAAATTACACAGACCTAGTGGTAGATGAGGGTTTCCATGTGTAGTGGATATAGGAGCAAGGCTTTCCTCAGTGGACACGCAGAAGTCTTAAAGCACAAATCTCATAGATTTGTTCAAGGAATGTTAGTGTCAAGCCATTCCTATCCAGAGCTTGCCCTGCCACCAGCTTACAAAGAATGACATCCTTAGGGAATAAATTCCTGTTAGTTCAACCTGTTATGTCTCTTTCTTAAAATGGACACTTTCCTGGAAGGGGTATTATTGTCACATAGGCATTATTGCAATTCATGTCTTGAGGGAACTTCTTCCTGGGGAGAGGGTGCAGGAGGAGACAAGGCAGGCCATCTCTATGTGGATAGAGAGAGAAGAGGTCATTAGTGAAGATTTGACCACTTGAAGTTCTGAAGGGACGGTACAAGGAATTCAGACAGAGTTGTAGACAAGTGTGAAGGCGCTATTGTGAGGGTGTTGGGAACAGTCATCAGAGTAAGTCAGAAAGGGACCACAGATCAATTAAGGGTTAAGGGGACACTCAGAATGTCCTTTTTCTTTCGCAATTTTGCTTGGTGTTCGTCCTAGGTAACTATCTTAAATGAAGAGCCTAAGATGAAATGCTTATTTAGATTCCAAAACAAATACATTTGTTGAGATTTATGATGTGGCTAATAGTATAATAATCAAATGTTCATGTTAGGTTGGTCCACAAAATAATTCAAGAAATAAACAAGAATTTGGGGGCATTAACTGTACCTAGGATTGTTATGGCCATTATTTAATATCCATCAGAGAAAGCATTTTATTACTATCCATGTGATCCTCCTTTCCAAGAAACTATAATTTTTGAAGAGAATTTGCTAATAAATATTGAACAAAAAACTCAATAAGCACTGGAAGACTGTTTTCAAAAATTCTTTGTTAATCGGATGTCAGGTCAAATAACATTTGTTTTCAAAGGCTTTTTCTGTCCCTTCTTGGTGGCTTCGTCACTTCTTCTCCATTCAGTTAAGGTCAATGTCATATCACATTGCTTTATTATCCTTAAAGCACTTCCCACCAGTGGAAATTATGTTTATTAATTTGTTTCCTTAGCTGTACTTCTCTCTACATTAGAATATAAAATTTATGTGGCTAGGAGCCCATTTATCTTACTTAAAGTTGATTCCAGTGTCAAGAACAGCTCCTATAGCATATAAATAAACATGGAATTTAAGTATCTGAGTATATTTCAAATTCTTGATCTAATAAGACAAAACCAAGACAGCAGATAACAACATTAAAATATTACTCAACATTCTATTTTGGCATTGCTCTGAGGATCAATGACACATAACTTGTACTTGCTAGCATCACTACATGAAATCTCACAGTGAAATTTTTGTCTGCTAGGACTCCACTGATGGATAACTGGTATTCCATATCCTACCTGTATTTCAGCACTCTGGGAACTTTAGTAGCATTATTTGTGGGGATGCTTATCAGTTTATTAACAGGTAAGTAAATATTGCTGTTATTGTATCTACATCTGTGTCGGTTTTTACAGTTTGATAGCCACATATGTGTTTTATTATGATCCTGCTAACAACTGGCATCATTCTTTTTTTCCATTTTTCTTATGGGGGATTTAAAAGCTTAGACGTGAAGATGGAAGACACATGTCTACTTGAATCTTGGTTCTGACATTCAGTAGCTAGCTGCTTGGACTTTGTCAAGGCATACAGCTGCTCTGAACCTGAGCTTGTTTATGTGTGAAATGAGGATAGCAGTTAAGTGACTTGCTTCCCCTGCAAACTGCTGTGGGACTGAAATAAGATGCTTGACACAACTGTATGTTGGCTAGCTCTAGCAATGCTGCGGCTTTCCCACATGTAAGGGAACTTCAAGAAGTTCCTGGACAATAAGTCTTATGAAAAAAATATGTGTGGATTTCAAAAATTTAGAAATGAAGTAAGCTTATCTTTAAGCTCTATTTTCTTAATGAACTTTTTCAAATGCCCTTGTGTGTTTACAATAACCCTAGGCTGTGAGTTTTCCATATTTTTTTACACAATGTAAAATACACAAGCAAGGAAAATGAGAATTATGTGTAAACATGTGAAAGTTTTTGTAGAAGTTCATAAACATTCAAAATGCATTTTAATGATCAGACTGATAATATAGCTACTACACATTGTTACCTGGGATCGCTGCAGAAGTGTCCTCCTCATTCTGTGACTTCCCTAGGCCTCCATCCTGGGCTGTGCTTCCTGCTGCCTGACACTCCCCTCATTCCTGTTTATCCCCTTAATCGAATGGAGCATATTCTCTGGCACCTTCTTGAGAAAGAGCGGATAAGAGAAGAGGCTGGAGAAACTTTCTCTTTCACCTTACACTACATTGCTGAGTTGCTGAGAGAGAATCTTAGGTTAAAAATCACTTTATTTGGGGCACATTTCAGTTCCCTTTTAGCTTATATCTTATCCCTGCCAAACACCTACTTATACCATGCTACCTGCTGACACTTGCCGTGTGACCTGTTTCTGCAATGCCAACCTTGCTTGAAGCCCTCAGTAGGATCCTTTCAATTGGATGACTTTTGTATTTCATTTCTGGGCAAACTCTTGTTTGGCAATTTCCTGTTATTTTCCTGTGTTTCTGGAAACTTTAGTTTGTCAAATGTTTGAAGCTTGGACTGTTGCTCTAACTTTCTATTTTCCATCTCTGTCTTTTAGGTCTACTATGTGGATATTTTTTTTCAATTGCTATGTCAATAATTCTCAAAGGAGCACTGTGATCCACTTTTGAAAATAGTCTGTAGGGGGACGAGGGCAGGGAGGAGGCGATTGCAGGAATCCAGGTGAGGTTCCAAGCGGCTGGGACCCAGGTAGCTAGGGTGGAGCTGGGACACCTACTGGGCTCCCTAACCACCTGCATTCCCTTATACTTGCATCTATCACAGCCAACAAGGACAAGCTCTTCTACACTCTCCTACAAATATGTCATAAGTAGTCGGACAGTCTACCTTCATTTTGCCCAAGTCAGGCCGATGTCTTTGCTCAGAGCAAATAGCACTGTGCAGCCTTATAGAGTCCTCTTAGCAGCTGCTTTCTGGCACCTAGATAACTCTATTTAAAACTTCTACTATGCTTGTATTTATAATTCAATGTTTGTAACAAGTTCTTAACTCTCAATCATTGTAATTGTTACTTCTTTTCCTAAAAGACTATGCTTTGTCTCATACGTAAAATTATTGGCACAGGATTATTATTCTTTTTTGATACATTGTGAGGCAAACGTAAAACTTTTTTTCCCCACAACTTATCCAATTATATCAAATTAGGAATGTACCTAACCTGTCATCTTTTATTGTTTTGATTTTTTTTGTTCTTAATCAACCTATTTTATTTTCTTAAAGCAAGTGGAGTATCAGTGTATTCTTTTTGAATAGTCCTTATTTTCTCCTTAGGTGCTGCTTTTTTTTTTTAAGTCTTATTTATTTGAAAGTCAGGGAGAAGAGAGAGAGAGAAAGAGAGAGAGACACAGAGAGAGAAATGAGAATGAGAATGAATGAATGAATTTCCCAGTTGCTGGTTCACTCCCAAATGCTTGCCAACAGCTAAGGCTATTCAAGGTCAATGATAGTGCCAAGGACTCAGTCCAGGTCTTCCACCACTCTGACTGCTTTGAACTCAACTATCAGAACTATCACTTGTTACTTCTCTGGAAACTCATTGGCTAGAAGATTGAATTAGAAGTGGAATTAGGATTTAGACACGCCAACATGAGATGTGGATGTCTCAGGCAGAAATTTAAATGCTGTGCCAAACACCGACACTATAACATGCTTTGATTCTGATGATCATATACAACTCTGTCTTTAGTTTTAAAAACAAATACATTAGACAAGTGAACAGACATTTTCCAGTGATGAAAAACACTTCAACTTTATGAATTTCAAAAATTACTTATTCCTATATCACAGCAGTATTTGTACTTTAAACAAATTATAGGAACATACACATCTGATGTTTCTTGGGACAACATGTTTTAGAACCTACTGAAGGGTACCGGAAATTTGTAGGAGTTTAGGCCATACAGCCTTGGTTGGAAGTGCAGCTCTACTTGATTCCTTAGTATGTACAAGAGTGTTTGTTCATCATCAGATGGGGTATTTAGCTCAGAAGCAGACCATGAGCTGTGAGCACAGCAACTGTACCCCAGCACCCAGCAGAGCCTCTAGTATACAGTAAACCCTCAATTGTGTCAAGTGAATTAAAGTTGATCATATTACCAGAACAGAAGTATTTGCATGAAAGTTGTGGTTCTCAAACTTAAGTGTGGATAATAGTTACTTTAAAACTTTGATGACAGTTCAGTTTAGTGGCCTTACCTGGACGCATTCCAATTTGGTCAGTCCAGGAGGGCTTCAAGGACTTCAAGGGATCTGAATTGTAAGTATATTTCCTAGATGATTTAGATAAAGGTGGCTTAAGCATCACTCTTTGAGATACGTGACTTTAAAAAGCATACTCTTTGATCCACAAATAAAACAGCCAAAAGGACAGGATTTTATAAAGCAAAATCTTAGGGAAGAAGACTGGTTCAAACATTGTCAGCATATTAATTTTCATTTAAACAATTTATTCAACATTTTATAATCTTGTGTATTTCTTCACATACATAAGAGCATATATTTGTAACCACCAAACTGGGGAAAGGCAACTCTACCACCTGAAGTGGAAGTAGATGGCTTGAGGTTCTATCAGTGGATCAGGGAGGGTGCTTCTCAATCCATTTTCATAACAGCACTGAAACAGGTGACTTTTTCTCTAGTTCAGTACCAGACAAAGCAGTTGGTTGCACTTAAAAGCCATATTACTCATGCATACATATAATACATACATACGTACATATATATACACACATACCTACATAAGTATTTAAAGTGCATACACTGTACAGAATGCATGACAATTATATAATATTAATATAAAATATTTACTCTTGGACTGCAAGAACTACACGTGACTGAGGGACGAGGGAGTGGGAAGAAGAGTAGGATGAAGTCTTCTAGCACATTTAGAAGTTTCTCTTGGAGTGGGTATTTAGCCTCGTGGTTAAGGTGCCAGCTTCTCCAATCTGATTCTTGCAGACCCTGGGAGCAGTGGTGCTTCCGGTCCAGGTAACTGAGGTCTTTCTGCCTCTATGAGACCTGGACTGAGTTTTTGCCTCCTGGCTGTTGCAGGCATTTGGGGCAGTGAACAACAGAGAGGCGTGCCCTCTGTCTGTCCCTTTGCGTAGAATGTCACAGTGTAGTTGCAAGTTTCTTTTTAGCGAGGGAAATAATGTCTTTTTCTTTTCAGGAGGAAGAAAGCAGAACCTAGATACAAAATTCTTACTGACCAAAGAAGACTTCTTATCTAATTTTGATATTTTTAAGAAAGTAAGTTGGCTTTGATTTTTTTTTTTTAACTTTAGGAAGCTGGGCTTTATTATGTGATTGGAACACAAGGTAGCCACTCACCTCTCCACTAAACAGTTGTGGACAAGGATGGCATATTGTCTTTTGTCTTGGCACTTTCTATATCTCTCCCTTCAGTAGATTACAAACTTCAGAGAGAGAAAGCAGTACAGTGATTTGAAAGAACAGCTTCTTTCTTCTAATCATGTTAACATTTTCTTTTAGAAGAGGCATGTTTCAAGCTACAAATCTCATCCAGTGGAAGATGGTGGAATTGATAATCCTGCTTTCAGCCACATCGAATTGAATGTCACAGATCAAAGTGGCAAGATCAATGGGACTCGTTTGTAAAGCTGCTCTGAAACTAGACGATCTTAATTCATGTCTCAATTTTGTATGTTTTTTCTAAGATAATGGGAACAGGTTTAGATTTTTTTAAAGTCTGTCTTGACTATTTTAAGGGACACATTTTTGTTAGAGTGAAGTCCTTCCTTCTCACTGACTGATATTATCCTGTAGGTAAGAGTTTCAGCATCAACATGGCTTGATTTGTCTCTCAAGTCTCTCAATTATTCCAAGAAGCTTTGGTTGTGAAAGTTATATTTGCATGTATGTTGAAAGGTTTGTACATATAAACATGATAGTTGATGGTGAAAGGCATTTTAAAATTGGGCTATCATTGAAAATATTTCCCATGCCTTTGGTGCTCACATATGAGTTCTGGAAGTTGTCAAAACCATAATTTTGTCCCCTTTGCCACTCCTCTCTTCTTAGGGAGCAATGACATGACAGACCTACTTTGTTCAGGTCTCCCAGCAGCCCAGGACACATTGGTCAGTTGGAGCGCACTGTGGCTTAGGAAGGCGGTGATGTGGAACAGAACATGGATCCAACGATTATGCTCTTTGGGTCACTTTGGTTTGTTCTCCAGTGCTCCTGGCTTTGCTTCTACTACTGGTAGAGTGTGGTTCTTATTTGCATTCCTAGATTCTTATTTACATTCCAAACCCAACAACTTTGGTTTGGATGTGTACTTTGTTGAGTTTCCTTCATAATTTCTTTTTTTTTTTTCTGTTGCCCCGGACTTGGACATATTTTCAGACATTCAATGCTGGCTCACTAAATCTGAGTCTATAAATGATAAAATTCCATTGGCTTGATATCCAGTATAGATAGATAGATTTGGCGATCCAAAAATTTTTTTAATTAAAAATGGTTAGGTTCCATGGAGTTAAATGGTCACATTTAATACATGGGATTAAATGATGATATTTAATACTATCAATTTGAACTTTCCAATATCAACTAATTTGCAATCAAATTGACTGAGATACATGTGCTTAGAAATCTCAAAACTCTAATGTATGTACCCAGTAAAGAACTAAATGACACAGGGAAACACTACCTTTTTAATGTATTAAATACATGTTCCATGTTCTAAAGTTTCAAGTGCCAATTTCAAAAGTTAATGAACTGCTTATTTTCCTAGCTAAGAGTCTGGTTGCAGGATTTCATTGGTAACTTATTTTTTTTTCTATATAATCCACATTAGATACTATTTAAAAGGTTTTAAAAACATTTTTCAATTTTTTAAAAAAGAGAAATATTCAGACATGTAATTTTTATAGCTAAACCATTTTGTGTTTTTTGTGATCTATATTTTTTAGGAAATCATGTTCTCTATCTTTAGAGGTTGTGAATTGACAATAATAACAATAAAAAAACTAGAAAATAGTACTTACCGGTGGTAAAGAGTCATAAAACATTTAAATTAACTGTATACTCATGGAAAACATCAAATTTACAAACATTTCTACAATGTTTTAATGCATAGAAAGGAATGATCCAGTTGGTTTTGTGTGCGTATGATTGGAACCACCATTGCTTATTATTCAGAATGCCTGTGTGTAGAATGCTGTGATTTTGGAAATACAAATCAGGTTAAAAAACCTTTTTCCTATGACTTCTAAAGGCTTGTGCAGTGTTTTCTTAATATGAAATATGAAACTTGTAATATTGTCTTCTGTCCTTTAGACAAGCTATGTCTTTGTAATACTTGGAATTACTGATATTTTATTTTTATAAACACATAAAGTACCAAAGTTCCTAAGACATCAACATCATATTATTATTAACTTAAAAGCATTTGTCTTGGACCTGGTGCTGTAGTCAAGTGGCTAAAGTCCTTGCCTTGCACACCGGGATCCCATATGGCCGCCGGTTCCTGTCCCGGCAGCCCCACTTCCCATCCAGTTCTCTGCTTGTGGCCTGGGGAAGCAGTTGAGGACAGCCCAAAGCCTTGGGACCCTGCACCTCCAAGGGAGACCTGAAGGAGACTCCTGGCTCCTGGCTTTAGATCGGCTCATTTGTGGCCACTTTGGGAGTGGACTGGCAGGCAGAGGATCTTCTTCTCTGTCTCTCCTCCTCTCTGTATATCTGACTTTCCAATAAAAAATAAATTTTAAAGAGGGAGGTATGGGTGAGCTAGTCCCCATGCTGGGCTCAGGAGGCTGTTTTGTGGCTATCTGCATCATAGTCTGGGCTCTGCTCCTCCTCCACCAAAAAAAAAAAAATCTTAATTTCTAATTTTTGTGATAAAACCAAATGGGGTAAAATTTTAATATATTGTAATAAAATTATTATTTTTAGTTATTTTAAATTGCATATACTGTATCATGTTGTCTGTCAATGGTCAATGTTTTGTTGTTGGCAGCTGTGTGCCCTGGAGTTCATTCGTAACCTCCTCTCTTGGTGGTACACAGCACTGAACTCGTGCCCGCCTCACAGAAACAATGTGAGTCTAAAAGATTGGGTTGAGCATCTTGGCAGAACAGTTACTTCAATAACTCAAATCATGTTATCTAGCATTTCAATATGACTTGGACTCCAAGTTTCAGAAAAAGTCACTTGCCAGTGTTTTAAAAGATGAATTGCTAACTATTTCCAATGTCATGGTAATACAGATATTGCCTTCTCTAAAAAACATGTGTGCCACAGGAAAATTATATTTAGGAGTCAGTAGAACTATTCCAAGAAAGAGAATGTGAAGCATGAGGAAAGATCTACATCAATCATATTCACCATAGAGAGATGTGAACCTTCAATAGGTAGAATGTCACATAGCCCAAATTCATACCTATCTATTAGTTGCTCATATAGTCACTTTATCTCCAGACCAGTGATTCTCAAAAAGGGCAGCTTAGTCCTTGAGAGGACATTCAGACGTGTCTGGAGACACTTTTGGTTGTGACAGTCACACTGGGGTACCACCGGCATCTAGCAGGTTGAATATATAGAAGATGCTAATTCTATGAGGTAGGGGAACTCTCCTCCACTCAAAGAAGTTATCCAGCTCAGGTCATTGGTTAGCTAGAGTTTCGAGGATCTCCTGCCCTGGAGATGGAGGTTGGTTTCCCTGAAGTCACACAAATAGGTTGTGTTTCCTTAGGGAAATGCCCTGACTCTTCAGTCTGCACAAGATGGAAATGTCACTAGCATATGTATTGTTATGATGTTTAATAATGGGCATGTATTTTGACAGCCACTGTGAAAATTCTGAAGACTCTGGAATTCTGAGTAATTATTTCAACAAGGCATAGGATGTGAAGATCTCATAATTCCTTATACATTAAAAATTATAGGAAGTTTTTTAATTATAGGAAGTATTTTTAAATAATCAAGTATTTATAACGCAGATTAATGAGATGGGGGTGGAGGTGAGAAGGAGAAAGTAGTACTTCCTATTGATTCTTATAGGAAATGCTGAGATTTTTCCATAAAGATTGATTTAAATTACACTAAATGCATGAAAATGCAGTTATTAAAATTTTATTGTATACTTTTGCATTTAATTTTTGTGCCCATTGCTTATGAAAAAGCTTGGGGGAGTTGAATATCAGGTGTAAAACTAATTTGACGGTTGTAAATATAATTTTTCAAGTTGATTAAATTTTCTTCAAGTGTCCTTGCAGTTGCATGTTCTTGGAGAACCAGCATGAAATTTAATATAATTACTTTGATCATCCTTTATGGAAAGATATTTTTGCTCTATTAACTACACAAAGGACCCTTTCTAAATGCTGTAGTTAGGTGCTTATAAAAATGTAAACAAGTAAACATGCAGAACTCGTTAGTGAAGAATATTTTATATTTTGACAATACTGTATTTGGAAAGAATATCTTATATTTTGATAATACTGTATTTGGAATTAGGCATGAAAAATACCAACTTATTGCTGCAGCTTAAAATTTTAATTGAGGTAATTTTTATAAAGTTGGATGGGACAAAGAAACCTTTAGATTAGGATAAATTGTAGGGTACCAGTAGAAGATGTTTTCAGTGAGTTTATTCAGGTTCTTCACAGTTTCTTGGTTAAGGCTAATTTCCTTCCTAAGAGCCTTAGGTCTTGCTGCATGGAGCAACAGACAAAGCATTCTGGACTTGTAGCTCCTCAACTGTTCCCTTGAAATAATCAACGTAACAATTCAGCTTATTTTGAGATGGCTTATCCTTACATGTTTTGGTACTAACCATGACTGTGACTATTCCTAGTTACCCAATTTGAAAAGGCGTAACAGAAGAAGTAGGTATCACCACCTAAGTCAAAGATTCCGCTTCCCCATTCTGTCTTTTGGTTATCTAAATGAAAGCATTAGGCACAGCCAGTAAGCCTCCACTTATGCCTGCATTCTGAATGGAGTCCCTGGGTCCAAGTTCAAGCTCTGATTCCAGTTTCTTGCTTAGCCACACCCTGGGAAGGCAGCAGATGATGGCTCAAGTACAGGAGTGCCTGCTATCCATGTGGGAGACCTGGATTGAGTTCTGTCGCTAAAAACTCATTTCAAGTTCTTCATGCTTTCACAATCTTTTCTCAATTTTGAAATCTGTATTCACAGCTGTATTCTTGGTATCTGGAACTGAGTCTGATCCATTGAACACTTTCAGAATAAAAACCAATTTAGTTGCCACATCTTAGAGTTTTCATCTACTTTTTTTAAAAAATTGACTTTTTATTGGAAAGTCACATATACAGAGAGAAGGAGAGATAGAGAGGAAGATCTTTCATCCCAAGATTCACTCTCCAAGTGGCTCAGCCAGACCTGAGCTGATCTGAAGCCAGGAGCCCCGAGCTTCTTCTGGGTCTCCCACAGGGGTGCAGGGTTCCAAGGCTTTGGGCCATCCTTGACTGCTTTCCCAGGCCACAAGCAGAGAGCTGGATGGGAACTGGTGCCCCATAGGATTCTGGTGCATTCAAGGCAAGGATGTTAGCTGTTAGGCTACTGCACTAGGCATCTTTTTTTTTTTTTTTTTCTTCAAAAAGTGAATGTTCATAGGTTTCATTGCCTGGAAAGGAGATTCCTTATGTGAATGGCATGTGCTTAGTGTTTA